TAACAGCAGACGGTGGAAATTTTGGACGATTGTTATAACTCGTTTGTCGTAATTGTTTATCTAATGATTGAAAATTGAAATTTATAAATATGTATTTTTATTATTTTTGGATATTTGATACTCCTATATACTGGTATGAATGAAAATTCATAAAGACACTTTTTTATCAGCTTATCTAGCTTAATATGATTCCACAGTCCGTGTCCGCGAATTTTGTAACACCCTGTATAACAGAGTGACGTTTTTTTGCAACTTCAATCACAGCATGCACGCTATCATTTTCATTCTGCGTGTGGCCAATTTCAAGAAAACGATGTGTTATTTCCAAATCCAAAGTCATTGATGCATAAGCAATCATCGCAAAAACAAAACTATTACGGTTTTGACCACCGTAATTGTCGGAATAAAGAATAACCTTTCGTATGCCATTTTCTTTAACACTTTAAAAATATCCATAAACAACTTCCGTTTTCATCCGGTTCTCTCTTCGATATTTGCTCATACCATACATAGCAATAGTCTTGATTGCTGCCTAAATCATAAATTGTAAAGTTGTATGTTGCGATTTTACTTATACGGCTATAGGGGTTATTATAAGGTTAAAAGACTTACAGTTTGGGAGATATTAATTTCTGTCGTTTTCCTCCAGGCCCACGACTTATATATAAAGGAGTTATTAGTTTAAAGGGCTTACGGTTTGGAATATATATTTATTTCTCTCTTTGTTTCCTGATTATAGGAGTATAGGGCAAAATAATAAAATATGTGTTATTTTTTTGACCTGGGAAAATCCCATTTCTACAAAAAATTCAATTTTCATTTTTACGTTCTTTTTTTTCTTTTCAATTTACTGTAGCTATATCTCAGGAATTTACAAAAAATTTTCTTATACTTTTGGCGCCTCGCTAGTCGTTTGGGGGCCTATCTTCCAAAATAAGTCGGATTTTGCCGACTTCCCGACCTGGCCAGACCGGGCCTGAGCAGCGCTGATTTTATTCTACCTTCTTGTTGCGGAAATACTGTTTGAAGTTGTATTTAGAATTATTAGAACACAGTGCATTTATATTTACGCGGTCGACAATTGCTTTCGTTCTTTGTCGAACGTAAATGTATATTAACCTTCAAGAATTTTATATGAAGTTTAAATAGCGACCTTGAAAGTGAATTATGTAAGATATCATTGTGATTAGTCATTAACAAACTAGAAAGAATAAATTAAGGTAGGTATTAAATTTTATTGATCGATTAATTTAATACATTATCTATTTTAAAACAAAAATCATTAATTGCAAGGTTAAGGTTTAATTTATCCGAAGAGTTAATTAGTTTTTAAATTTTATTGTTAGAATCTTACATGAATCTAAATGTATCTGGAAGTAGAATTAGTATTATGTTATAAATAATAAGGATTTAAGGTTATAATAAATTAGGGTTGCAAAATAGGTATATCATACCTCAACTATGGGCTACCTGCCCCAATTAGCATTGAATTATAACACCAACTCCTAGTAAATAACTAGTAATTAATAATTATCTAAAATAAAAATTAAAAATGATACCTCCATTATATTATAAAACAAAAAACACATCTGACATTGAAATTATTAAATGATGTAATATTTCAAAGAAACATCCTGCATTTTCTTGTCGCTATACATCGCCCTTGACAAAAAGTAATACTTAACCCCCAATTCAAAAAGTTTGTTGGGTAATAATCATGGAACCGCATTTGTCATTCTATAATAAAGTCACTTTGTCAAAAAAATATCCGATTTGTCATATTTGTTCATTAAATATGTAATCAAAATAGCTCTAAATGAAAGAGAAATAATAACGATTTTGATAATTCGTTTATTTGGTGATACGTTTCCAGACAGAACGCCAGTATCAAAATCAACTCTGTGCAGAACACTACAAACGTTTAAAGAAACTTTAGCAGTGAAAGACAAGCCCCTATCAGGACGAAGAACTGCAACTAATGACAAGCTGTTGAAATATGCAGAGTTTTGTGGAAGATCCTCATACTTGCAAGTAGTAGATCATGTATTTGCCGAATTTTAAAAACAAACTCTTATAAACCTTACAAAATACATTTATCGAAAGGGTTAAGCGAAGATGATTATGACCGAAGCCTTGATTTCTGTGAAACGATAATGGCAAAAGTTGACCAAGACCCTAACTTTATATTTCATATTTGTTTTTCCGGTGAATGTTAATAGTTTAGTGTCGTCACAATTTGAGGTACTGGAGTGGCCAAAATGCTCACTGGATGAGAGAAGAACACATCCAGAGATTTAAAAAAATACATACGTGGGCCGGTATTATTGGTACTACCATTATTGGTCCGTTTGTAATTGATAGTAACTTAAATGACCAAAAGTACCAACAAATGTTACGTAATCAAATTGTACCTGCTTTACAAAACTTAGACATTAATTTTGACAGAAGGATGGAAGGTACAATACCTCATTTTGCTATTGGAGTTCGGTAATTCCTGGATCAAAATGTTTCCGATTGGATTGGGAGAAGGGGTGCTATTGAATGGCCAGCACGCTCTCCTGATATAACACACTTCTTTTAAGGACATTTAGAAAATAATATTTATAAAACAAAGCATTAAATATAAACGATTTGAGAAACAGAATATTTGAGGAATCGCAACAAATTACTAGAGAAACTTTAATAAACGTTGTGACGTCGTTCTACTATAGGTTGGGATATTGTCAAATTGAGAGTGGAAGACAGTTTGAACATTTATTAAAATATATTTTTTATTCAAAGTATAATTGCATAATTGTGTTATTTTTTCGTTTGTATTTTTTTTGAATAAAGGTGTGGTTAAGAAAAAGTAGCTATAACTCCTTTATTTTCTAAAATTTACCTATTTTTACTCGAATGACACAATTTTTTAAACATTCATAACGCATTTCTTTGGGTGGTAAATATCGATTTCTATGGTACTTTTCAATCCACCGTAATAGGTCTGCCACTTTGGATTTAAGAATTTCTTAATTTTATATTATTATTATATAATATTATAAAATATTATTATTTATTATTATATTCCTTATTATGATTTTCCTAATTACGTTACTCGGTGGTGAAAACCACCGAGTAACAAATTTCAGCCTTAATCTTCAAATTTTAAACGCTTTTCCGATTTTTACATCCGTCGTATTGGATTCGCCATCTTTTATTCAGGAATTTTCAAATTTCAGGTTGGCAATCAGTGACCCCAAAAACGCGCGGTAACATTTAGACAAAAATATGTGACTTATAATGGGACCCTGGTTTCCAACTCTTAGAGGGATAAGTTATATTAGGTATATTTTTTTGGTACCTACATTTATATATTTGGTAGTATAAAATACAAGGCTATGTTTTTTCACATTGTTTTTTGATCTTAAACGTGGAATTAACCCTCTCGTAGGGATAGGTGTGGATTTTATTTGCAAATATTTCTTTCTAACGCTCAAAATGTTATTTTTAAATGTTTTAAAAAATTACCTGATAAATCGGTTTTTGGGCTAGGGATTGGATTCAGCTAAAAAATATACAAAATCTCTGTAGGGACCCATGCCTCTGGTACAGAACTTTTGTTGTGGGACTGTGTATCAACATTTCTAACATTGACGTTTCCAAATTTATTTTTCCCTAAAAGTTTTGTTTTTATTTATTTAAAAAATTTCAGTGTCAGGCATGTGTTTTGCATTAATGACAATTATATTAAAAAAAAAAATTTTTGTCTAAATTAAACCTAAATAAAAAAATTCAAACAACATAAAAATAAATTAAGAGAAAAATAGAAAGAAAGAAATGCTGTACGGTTTTTTTTCGATTAAGAATTTTATGTCATATACCTATTTATATGACGTTTTTTTCTTAAAATAACCTGCCTCCCTCAATATTCTAGATTGTTTAGGATAGGTAGGCTTCCATATACCAAGACATCAATTTGACTTGTTTTAGACTTTTAGACCATATTATTAGGATTTTTTAATTTTTTAAATATTTCTAAGCTGTTTTAGTTACAATTTATTTCATTGAGATTTTTTAGCGTATATTAAAGTTTTCTGACAGTTTAGTTTAAATGTGTTAAAGAAACCACATGTACTGGCGTCAGTGGATTTGTAGAAATAGTCCTTAGTACGAATTCACGTGAACCTTTAAAAAAAATCGCTTTGGAAATGTTTAAGTAGCCTAAAAAGTAAAAATTTCATAGCCTATTATCAACTAAAATAGCATAATAGTGTTTAAACTAATATTTGAATCAGAATAAGCAAAATAATATACCTAAAGCGTCTTATGTAATTTTTAAAAATTAAGGACACTTTCAGTTAAACAGGAAGTGATAAAAAAAATGACTGTTATTGAAATTATTCTATTTGTTGGCTATTTTACTCATATCCACTGTAACTAGCACTAATCAAAAACTAACTCCATGGGTGACTCCATGGCTTGTGTCGCCCGATATATATGCCGGAAAATCATTGCTGCGTTTGAGTTAATTTACGTCAGAATTATTTTTTTTATATAAAAACATATGGTACTATTCTGTCACGTTCTAAGCGATTGTTAAAAGATATAAATGCATGACCTTCAATTTTTATACTGTTTTACTCTTTAGCTAATATAAGTAATAATAGTATGACAAAAATACAAATGTCCATGTTTTTATAAACATTAAGTTTAGATTATTAAACTTGATTAAAAATATCAAGAATTTTGGGCTTTAAAACTCAAAGTTTAATTAAAATTTTGGTTAATATTTTACTACTTGTTTGTATAAAAATAACTAACTATTATATTAAATTACAAGTTTACCAATTATATCTAATAAATTACTTAGTTAAATAACGAAAATAAAAAAATTAGATTAACTTAGTAATTTAATGAAGTATATCTACTAATTATATAATTAATTAATATCACAAATTAATTTATATGTGAAAATATTTAACCTTACATATTTGTATTATAATTATTAACTTTTTACTTACCATGTCATCAGCAATTATAACAATAATATTTGGCTTCCCAGTTGATGTAAAACACAAATGAAATATTAAACTCAAACAGAATATCCGGTATATCCATACAAATTCAGCACACATAGTTATATTCTTTAATCGGGAAAAATACTTAAAATATGAACAAAATTTACAATGTGGGTTTTCTTCACCAACGTATATTAAAATAATTTTAGCGAAGATAAAATATTTATTGTGCTTAAACAAGTGGGGTTAATATTACAATCACTGGTGTGTGATAGAAACAATTCTCTTAATAATAACTTGATACTTGCACTGGGATTTCCTCCGCAGTCTATATCTATATCTATCTATCTGTCTGGTAAGTATGGCATACTCTCGGGAGTGTCTAGGGGAGGTCGAAATAACCCTAGTTTGTCATAAAAAATCCTAAAGTGCCCCTTAAAGGAGATACAGGGGTACCCAGCTATTTACCTTTTCGCCTCTAACTTTTGATGTGTATAATTTAGTGAAATTTAAATATTTTATGTAAGCCATAAAGGCTCATAAAACCATACCTACAGTAGATGTTTTACACTATCAGGGAACGGACTCGCCAACGCAGTCGTCGGGCCAAAATTTTATAAGGTGTCATTTTATAAAGCTGAAAACTGCATTTTTGAATACTTTCGTTATTCCTCTTTTAGAAATTAAGTTTTGGTATAACACGTCATTGAAATAATAAATCAGAATACTGCAATAAAACACCAGTCGCTTTCACATCGTGAATAATGTGTTATTGACAACATTTGTCAAAATTATCTGACTGATTGAGTACACAAGACTAAATAATGGCACATTATTCCTATTAGTCCAGACGGTATATGTTTCAAAAAGTACAAATTTGGGTGAATCGTATATCCACGGAGATTTTTGGCTTTTTGGACGAAAATGAAAGAGGAAAAATATGTTTGTAACAAAATTTTTTACAAAATATGACTAGTTACAAATCGAATTAATCATGATTATAATTGTAAAAATTGAAAAAATCGCCAAAAATGGGGTTAAAAACAATACTTTTTAGGGATTTTTTTGGAGTCTTTAAATTGGGTATAGGACCTTCATAGTTGGCTCAAAAAAACTTCATGTTATGTAGAATCATCATACCAAAGGACCCCGCACTTTTTATACGGAAAAGTGGTTTCAGTCGGGCGGTCTAATTTTTGATGGAAAAGGTAGTTCTCAACATCCTGAACAAAAAAGCTATGAGCACAAAAAAAATCTACTGTCAGGATTTTGCGCTACGGCGCATACAAGGTCGGCACCTGGGTTTTCAGGAGTCGGGTTATTTTTATCAAAAAAGAGCGTGTTCAGTGACCGACTATGGAGACATGTATGTGTTCAAAACGAGATTCAAAAATGAGGATTCCGGTCTTCCACACCACCTAATGAGGTTCCGAATGAGGCGCATTAGCTTCTTTATAATGGTTCTTCGCCAATAGCTCTATACTCCATTGTTGTTCCACAAGCTATTTCTTCTCAACTACTTCGATTTCAACGTGATTATTGGCATTTGTTCTGGCATCGCGGACGCGATCTAATAGTATTGTACGCGTGGGTACGGAAAAAAATTGTTGAATTTCGTTTTGAACATAGAAAAGGGGGATATATACAGGGTGTATTTAAATGGAGGGGCACAAATGATACCAGAGATTCCTTGGATGAAAATAAGTCGATTTAACCTAACATACCTATATCCCAAGTCGCATAATAAAAAAGATACAGGGTGTCAAAGTGAAAAATAAAAAATGGTTTTTCCTTAATAATTTCTATAATTTTAGTCAGAAATGTTTCAAATTTTCAACAGAGAGATTTTTTAATGATGGGAAAAATAATATAATAATGATTTTTGAGTGTCGAGTACGAGGCGCCCTCTGCTGGCAACGTTATGCATTAAATACGTAGTAACTTTTTTGCCAACCCCCGTATACAGCTTTTAGTAACAAAATATGAAATATTGGACTTTTTTTAACAAAAAAGGTATACTTATTGAAAATGGCTAAAGCCAACCGTTTAGGAGATATTTTTAATTTAATAAATTAGTGTTACGGATTTATACCTCCACGAATACCAAGGTTCGAGTTGCTTAAATAAATTTAAAAATCGAGTAGATAAATGTCAGTTGATAATACTCGTAAATTGCAATTTTGAAGTATTAGTTTAAAGTGTTAATTGATTTTAGTCACTATTTACCTGCATCCTAGATATTAAATAGTTTTGGAATTGAATAAAATAACAAATTATGTATACTAATGACGAGTATGTCGATATGTTGCAAGTATTTTTTAAATGTTACAAGAACTGTGCTGCTGCTGTACGACTTCATCATGCTAGTTATCCCAATCGTCGTGTTCCTGCTAGAAAAACTTTTGCGTCGGTAAAAAAAAACTTCAACCTCCTCCTGAAGGTACTGGCAGAAGACATCTTATTCGCGATGTAGAACTTGAAGAAATTGTCCTTATCAATTTACAAGATCAGAATTCTGAAACTAGTACCAGAAAATTGGCGACACAGTATAACGTTTCACATACTACGATTTGGAAAATTGCAAATGATAATCTTTTATACCCCTACCATCTACCTGTGTATGAATTGACTGCTGCGGATTTACCTAACAAGATATATTTTTGTCAATGGTATATGAACATTTCAAGGGAAAACAGAAATATTTTATCCGGTATTTTGTTTGGTGATTAAGCGTCATTTTCACTCATGGTCTGACAAAAATCCTCACCAAGTTTGTACATCCAAATTTCAACATAATTTTAGTTTAAATGTATTGGCAACAATCGTAGAAGATTATCTTATTGGTCTGTTTATTCTTCCTCGGCATCTCGGCGGAGCTGGATATTTGAATATTTGAGATTTTTAAATGAGCAACTCCCAATATTGCTTGAAGATGTGCCACTAGCTATCCGTGAACACATGTGGTACGCACGTGACGGAACTCTTGTTCATAGTTGTTAGGCAATGGTTAGTAGCTGTTAGACAATGGTTAAATTTAAATTTTCCTGAGAGATCGATAGGTCGAGGGAACGATGCACCAGTCAAATGGCCTGTGCGATTACCGGATCTCACACCCATGGACTATTTTTATGGGGTCACTTAAAAATGTTGTTTATTCCAACCCTATTGATAGTGTGGAGAATTTTTGCAGCAGCTGAGGAAGTAAAGAATGACATACATATTTTTTCAAGAGTTCGCCGTAATTCTAATCGTAGAATTAGACTATCCTTGCAGGAAAATGGAAATGACTTCGAAAATATCCTTTAAAAAATTTTTTATTGCCAGCCAATTACATATTTCTCTTAAATTATCTAGGTATTGACTGTTAAGTAGTGACTCTTGGTGTTAGTTGTTTTGCTCTTTTTCTAATAATTATTATTAAACTAACAATAAATAGGTAAGTATTTTGTAATATTTTTTCAGCTGAACTGTTATTTCATGAGATTTCTTTAACTCAGAGTTTAAATAATTTCACATACACAAGAAAATGTGTTTTTTAATAAAGACACCGAAAAAACAATTAAATAGAAATTATGCAACAAGTGTATTCACACACGCTAAAATAATAGGTATGCAAAAATAGTAAAGTAAATTTAAAACAAGAAAAATAATGTTGTCTCAGTTGATTTCTGCGCCCCCTTTTGGTCGAATTTTAAAATACAGAACACAACTAATAATTACTGTGAGGCAATGCGTTCTGAATTTATTAACAAAAGTGTCTGTTTGTACCTTGGTATTCGTGGAGGTATAAATCCGTAACACTAATTTATGAAATTAAAAATATCTCCTCAACGGTTGGCTTTAGCCATTTTCAATAAGTATACCTTTTTTGTTCAAAAAAGTCCAATATTTCATATTTTGTTACTAAAAGCTGTATACGGGGGTTGGCAAAAAAGTTACTACATATTCAATGCATAACGTTGCCTGCAGAGGGCGCCTCGTACTCGACACTCAAAAATCATTATTATATTATTTTTCCCATCATTAAAAAACCTCTCTGTTGAAAATTTGAAACATTTCTGACTAAAATTATAGAAATTATTTAGGAAAAAACATTTTTTATTTTTCACTTTGACACCCTGTATCTTTTTTATTATGCGACTTGGGATATAGGTATGTTAGGTTAAATCGACTTATTTTCATCCAAGGAATCTCTGGTATCATTTGTGCCCCTCCATTTAAATACACCCTGTATAGTACTTTTTCTCTCCAACACACCTCAACGCATGCATGTCTCCATAATCGGTCACTGAACACGCTCTTTTTTGATAAAAATAACCCGACTCCTGAAAACCGGTGCCGACCTTGTATGCGCCGTAGCACAAAATCCTGACGGTAGATTTTTTTGTGCCCATTAGCTTTTTTGTTCAGGATGTTGAGAACTACCTTTTCCACCAAAAATTAGACCTCCCGACTGAAACCACTTTTCCATATAAAAAGTGCGGGGTCCTTTCATCAAAATCGGTTCTATAGATTTTACATAATAAATTTTGCAATCCAGACTTTGAAAAAAAAACTGCAAATTTTCTAAATTTTGCACAGCAAAAATCAAAGCCCTTAGATACTTGAAAATTTAATCACACATAGAAGAGCTCTCAAGCTTTAAAACACTTTTTGAAAATTTCGAATCCGTCAATTAGGAGAGCTCTGGTGTTTGTTTAAACATTGATCGAATTTTTGTACTTATAAACAATTGAACAATATTATATTGAAATGAAAGAAAAATTCTTTCAAGCAAATGAGAAATTAACTCATTATATTACTAATTTTCGACATATTTTGAAAACAATTGTTATTTAAACAACTTTAGAATATTTTCAAAAATTTGTTTTTGATCTCTGATAAACAGTATATAAGTTTATGCACTTACCTTTGATACGATAAAAAATAAAGTTGATAATTAAAGGAAGTTTAAAGATAAATATTTATCGGATTGTTGAAAGACCAATAATTATTAACGATAGGCATTTTAAAATACGCTAATTGTTTTTTTTTAATCGCGAGACTTCGATTAAAAAAAAAAATCATCAAAATTTCGAGCAGGTCGAAGCGGCCGGGCTCTCTGCTTCCCCCACCACCACCATCCGTGCGATTTTCTTGAATTTCTCGCTTGCATAAATAACTTTAAATACGTTTTAACGTAGGTTGCCAATGAAGAAAAGTATTGCAAACTTAGACCTGGTAAGTACTCAGAATACTAAAGATATTTTTCGAAAAATTAGGCCGGATGTCGAAGTACATTTAGTGTAAATGAGCGTTTGATCGGCTATAACTACGTAACAAATTGTCCAATCGATCTGTTTTTTTTTTTAAGAAGTGTCTTTCCAATAACTTTTAGAACCTGCTTTAAAAAATTTGATTTGATTGAATATTCACAAAGTTAATCTAATTGTTTATAAGTATAAAAATTCGACCAATGTTTAAACAAGCGCCAGAGCTAGAGAGCCCTTCTATATGTAATTAAATTTTCACGTGTCCAAGGGCCTTGGTTTTTGCTGTGCAAAATTTTGAAAATTAGCAATTTTTTTTCAAAATTTGGATTGCAAAATTATTATGCAAAATTTATCGAACCGATTTTGATGAAATTTGGTGTGATGATTCTACATAACATGAAGTTTTCTTGAGCCAAGTATGAAGGTCCTATTCCCAATTTAAAGACCCCAAAAAAGTTCCCTAAAAAAGTAATGTTTTTTAACCCCATTTTTGGCGATTTTTTCGATTTTTACAGTAAGAATCATGATTCATTCGATTTGTAACTAGTCGTATTTTGTAAAACATTTTATTACAAACATTTTTTTTCCTCTTCCATTGTCGCTTAAAATCAACTCTTGAAAAGATGCATAATTAAATAGGATGAAATTTATGACATTTTTCGAATTTTTTTAACATAGTGTGCCGCCAAAACTTAAGCCCACGTTTTTTTTATGCTCATAGAAAAATGTTAATTTCTAGTGATATTTGAAAGCTAAAGAGCCAAAAATCTCCGTGGATATACGATTCACCAAAACCACAACAGATACCACCTAGTCTATATGTATAGCGAATATGCTGACATGCATATGATTTATGGACAAGCACTCGGCAATGGTGTTGAGGCAAGAATAATTTATTCTGATACATTTCCTAATACTTACATTAAAAATATTGTCATTATGGAAATTATTAACAGAACAAAGTGGCTCACTTGGTATATTTTAATTCAAAATTTAATTTTGAGACAAATTGCTAAATGTTCAATTTGAAAAAAAACTGCGTTTTTTTCAAAATGATTAAATTGTGAGTAATTAAGTTATGTAGGTTATCCACTGGATATTTTTGGAAAGTTTAGTGTCTAGACTATTTGTAGTTTGAAAATTATAATTAAAGCTACTCAATTATTCTGGATCTGTATCTTTCAAGCTGGTGCTGAAACATCGACATTAAAACAGTTTGGAATTTCTTGAAGACAATTCACTTTTGAGATAGCAATAAATATATTTTCCATAAAAATTTGTGTAGAATTTAAGTGATCTTCGTTTATAACTGGAATTGTGATAAAATACCATTATTTTGATTAAAGAGAGTAATAATCACCGGGTTACAATTTGTCATTATTCGAAGTAATCTCTGAAATATTCAAATAGGTGATCATCCTGAAACACGCTGTACATACGTATGTGTGTTTTCGGTTTCTCCATAAACATACTAAGAAATAATATCACCTAGTTTACAGTGTGTATTTAAGTAAATGTGTCATTGCGTTCTATAGATAACTTACTTTATCTCTTATCTCTTTTTACATAGATAGATAGGTATTGTTCAAATATTATCCGTTCTCACTACGCAGTGTGTATGTGGTACAAGGTGGCAAAAGATGAGATTATTTTATAATTACAAAATGAAATTAAAGTGGTTTTTGTTACTTTGTATATTAATAACTGTAAATTCTCAAGAAGTTGACATAGAAGACGAAAAAGGGAAGGATGAAATTTCTCCAGAAATTACACAAAATGAGAACCAAGAAACAATCCCAATTGAGCAAGGAGTGAATGAAGGGAGTGATACAGGTGGGACCAATCAAGGCGATACAGGAAATTATGGTAAATACTGAATTAAACAAATAGTGATTTGTAAAATTACTAATATATTTCAAAATGTTTAATGTTTTGCCTGCTGAATTCGAAAATGAACTGATAGAAGTTAAATTTTCTACTTACCGCAGATTTTTGAATGTAATAGTATTTTTTTCTTAATTTTTATAGAAGTAGTGGTAGATCCCAGTCCTTCTCCAGAAATAACAAACCTTGAAACTGAAACAAATGCCACTAACAACGATCCTAAATGGACAATTCAAACATTTGGTCGCTCTGGAAATTACGTTACATATTACGGGACAGATTACGGTTAGTTTTGCTTGATTTTTTTCAATATGCTTTGTTTGTAGCTTATTTATCAGCAATATATCATTACAATGTTTACTGCCGCCATATTTGGGCGTGGTTCATTAACCAGCACTCATTTATATGGTTTTATATGAACACGAATTATAACTGAAGTGCATATATAATTAATATTAGTGACTAAATGATATTGAAAGACATGTTCATTTCGTAACTACAGAAGTCACACTGTTAGTAAAATTGGTTGATATAAGAAATGTTCGTCCTTATTTAAGAGAAAAGTAATGGAAATTATGTATACCCATGTCAATCTCTGAAAATGAATGAATTAGGATAAATATTTATTTTTTTGTATCTAGGTTGTAAGTGAAAGGAAATTTATTTTTCAAACCTTGTTTTTTGCATGGATCTAATCATATTTCATAAATAAAATTTCTGATAGCGAATGAGTCATATTTTGATAAACCAGCAATTCGTCAGTTGCCTTACAGTTAGTTTATTTTTCCCCGATATGTTTATCTCAAAAGTCTTGATAATAAATTTTAGTTGTCAGACAAACCTTTCATAATAATTAATGGCGTTTTCTTTCCAGTTTATGTATAGAGGTCGTTTTTTTTAAACTAAATTTCTAAAAAGAATCCCAATACATTCTCTGTATGCAATTCTAGGTTTATATAAGTTGTTAAATTTTGTTGTTTTAAAAATAGGAAAGCAATAAAATCTAAATTCGAAATTATTATTAATTGAATTACTCTAACTATTCCCTTCCCGAGATAGTAATGTTATTGTATCTAGTTTGAAAGGCCCTATATATCACCGAAAATCAGAAAGTCATAAATATTCATTTTATTAAATATAGTCTAAATTCAAAATTTGCGAATATCATCGTTAACAGTGTTTCCTCCAAAATTTGTCAGAAGTGCTCGAATTATGTATTCTGATATTTTTCATCTCATGAAAATACAAACCCTTAAATAAACAAACCTTTGCGTCAAAATCATCTCGTTTCGTTCTAAGAACTGAAATAAATTGTTCTATTGAGTCTAATATAAATTGTTGTATTAGATCAAAAAAAAGTTTTTAATTTTAATTAACTAAGATTAATATTTCTGATTATGATCGTACCTCTCCTTTTTTATTATTTGTAGATTTAATAGTGCAAGCTTTGTTACAGCAACTTTTATCAGAATTTTAACCAATAATTTCACCGTGTACTTTTGTTTCAACCATTATCATGTCCCTCGCCATTTTATTTTTTATGTTTTTTAGTGTTTTATTGAATTTTTGTACTGAAGTATCGTTATTAACTAGAATTCAATATAGCGCCCATCCAATAAAGTCGAAACGGAGATGACGATTTCTCGTTAAAACAAAAAACAGTTGTTGCGGTAATAAATTTTTTTCCAGATTTCAAAAGACAAAAAAAGTCTATCTCAGTTATGAAAATACACTAGGACACCCGAATAGTTAGAGCCCATCTGCGAGCGCCATTAAGTTAGTAACAAAATGGTCTAAAACTATCCCTACTTTGATTGAAAAACTATTGTTTTTCAATCTCTTCAATTTTCTCAATTGGTATCGAATCCAATTAAATCTCTAATATTTTTGAAACGTTTATATATCAAATAAATGTATGGGTTATTAATCTTATAGTCCAATTAACTAAGCCTTTAAATCGAAATTTTGTCAACTTGGCTGAATTTTTGATATGAGTTAGTTTAAGGTGTATTATAACAATAAGTGAGAGTAATTTTTTGTTCAACCCCCGGCCAAGGGTGGAAAAAGATAAAACAAAGGGCTTTTTCAAGATAACTCAAAAAGGGTAAGAGCTAGAAAAAAAAGTTTTTCATGAAAGTTGTAAAGCAGACAATTCTACATAAAAATGGTCTCTTAGCTTTTTCTTGTACTATTAAAATTAACAGAGTTAGGGAGGCTAGAAGTTAAGGGAAGATTTCAGAAATTTAATTTTGTTAAATCATTAAAATTAACGATTAAAAATTTGATTTTTTGTTATAACTTTCTTATTAAAAATTAAAAAATATATCTATTTCTCTGAAAAGAAAAGTTACATATTTTAGAGCAGATTGAAAAAAAAAATTACAAAATTCAATCATTTTTCTGTTTGTTATGATTTTTTTTAAATTTCTGAAATCTTCCCTTAACTTCTAGCCTCCCTAACTCTGTTAATTGTAATAGTACAAGAAAAAGTTAAGAGGCCATTTTTATGTAGAATTGTCTGCTTTACAACTTTCATGAAAAACTTTTTTTTCTAGCTCTTACCCTTTTTGAGTTATCTTGAAAAAGCCCTTTGTTTTATCTTTTTCCACCCTTGGCCGGGGGTTGAACAAAAAATTACTCTCACTTATTGTTATAATATACCTTAAACTAACTCATATCAAAAATTCAGCCAAGTTGGCAAAATTTCGATTTAAAGGCTTAGTTAATTGGACTATTAACTATAAAACTTATAATATTATTGTATAAAATTATTATATTCCCGCAGTATGTTGTGAATTTAGTAAAATGTTCCATTAAGTTGTGACTTTAAATACGAAAAAAATGTTTAGTACCTATACATACAATTTATTTTTAGAATTAATATTACGATTTTTATCACACTAATCCCATATCCGTTCAAATAATAGGACCTACATGGTATTATTTACACCAAAGAAATTTTCCCTATGAGTCATACAAATAATTAGATTAATATTATTATTTATATAATTTTGATGTCCCCATATAAGAAAAACGTTTTACAATTTTTATTTCTTAACGATAACAGCAAGTCGAGTAAATTTTTTACATTACTTATTTAATCAATATTTTAACGGTTCATCATCACAAAACAAATAAGATAAAAACAATTGATCACAGTTGCGAAATTTTAATTTACTGTTAGCTGTATGATACTGTGATGATAAAAGCAAATAATTATAAAAAGGCGTGAATCATACAATACCGAGTGTTTCGCATAGAAACCGACACGCAAAGCAGGGGCATGTAGGGGAACCCAAAATATGGCGATTTTACGCAACTTCTGGCGGTTTTCCACTAAACGGACAGTTGAGTTTATGTCCTATTTGTGTTTTCTAGAACAAAATAAAAACAAAACTGAAACAAACCCAAAACTCTTGTTTCCATCAAGCTGGCTACATTTTGTTCGAGTTTTGTTTTTGTTTTCAGTCCTTTTCCACTGGTTGTCGCAAGGAATTCAGAACACATTTTTTAAAATAACCAGCCAACATGTTTAGAGAAGATTTTTTTATTCTTAGTTATGGCTGGTTTATACTGAAGTCCTTGGAAAAATAGTGTGTCTACAGAGTGTCCCACCTTGAACTCCATCGATGGATATCTGATGGTGTGATACGGATCGTGGGGTCGACACTAACTTTCTTATTTTAAATGGAATTCCTTGTATATTATTACAATTTTTGGAAATATCATCCATTTTTAAGCTGAAAACATATAGCACACTCCATACTTAGGATTGACCGTTTCAGAGATATTTCGATTTTTAAACAAAAATTGACAGATGCACTCGGCAAAATTTAGTTTTCCCGGTTTATTTTTTTGTGCAAATTGGAAATTTGTAGAGAAATACCTACTTTATCGAATTTGACATGAAAATTTTTCAGCTTTTATACAGGGTGGTCAAAAAAAAATCGAATATGAAGTTCAGAATATGTGGAAAACTCGCAATTTTTAAATGGAAACCCCTAATTTTTTTGCAATAATATACAGGGGTTCCATTTAAAGTAAGAAAGTTAGTATCAACTTCCGGTATGACCGGAAATACGATGACCTTGAAAATATTTTAGCTTGATAGGCTCCACAGTCCGTATCAAGCCATCTCAATTTCAAAAAAATCCTTCGAGCGGTTTCCCAGATATCCATCTATGGAGTTCGTGGTATATGGACGGTTAAAGTGTTTACTTGGTTAGTTTGTATCCTAGCCAAGTAAACACTTTAACCGTACACATATATGTTTTTTAATAGCTATAATTCATTAATGATTAAAATATTGTTTTTGGGAAGAAGAAAACGCCAACATAGATATTGGGTTGGATCACTTAAATAGAAAACACAACACAGCCGTTTCCACTAAACAGACTTGAGTTTCAAAACACGTCGAAACCCTTTGATGAGACCGCTTTCGAGCGGGACCCAAAAAACAAAACTCCAACTGTCGCAAAACACGCCAGTCTTCAAAAAGTTTGCGAAAAGTTACAGTTTTGTTTTATTCGACACAAGTTTGTGTTTTGTTTTTGTTTTGTCCGTTTAGTGGAAAACTGCCTTTTTGAAGCGGGACCTGAAAAACAAAACTCCAACTGTCGCAAAACACGCCAGTCTTCAAAACGTTTGCGAAAAGTTACAGTTCGACATAAGTTTGTGTTTTGTTTTTGTTTTGTCCGTTTAGTGGAAAACCGCCTTAACATTATGCTGCACCCGCTAAAAATTATAGGCTTTGAAAGTAGGGTTTCAAATTTCGATAAAAATTAATATCTCAGTCATACTTGAACTTAGAAAAATCAAATTTGGTAAACGGTGTGAGTGTACCAAGAGTATTAATCGATAGTAAGTGTCAACAAACAACAACATATTGTCAATTTTTAATTTGATCGGCCAACTTTGTTTTTTTTATTTCTCAACCACAAAGTACAACTTCGTAATTATTTAAAACATAACTAATATATAATAAACAGAAATAAACAAATAATTCAAATGTGCTGCCACCTGCGTAGGCGTGCTGCCTTCTGTGTAGGCGTTTTGGAACGGGGATGGCATTAATTGTATCTTTTATTCTTCGTTTCAATTCAAATAAATCGTTATTCAATGGGGAGGCCAACAAATTGGGCCATTTCACCCAATCCACCGCCCAGGAAATTGACCATCTAGCCGTTGTCGAATAATTCGCGTTGAATGCACTGAGTATCCGTATTGTTGAAAGTAAAGGAAAAAAAAACAAAGTTGGCCGATCAAATTAAAAATTGACAATATGTTGTTGTTTGTTGACACTTTTGATCAGAAGGATATCAAGTACAAAATATCAAAAATCCAGACAAATAGAGAGATCAAGATCTTTTAAAACTTTTTTCTAATAGGAACTGACATGTCAAGAAAATAAAATAGTTTCTCTAATGGTGTGTTTCTTAATAATAATCTCAAATATTTGCGAGTAACCTTTCCAAAAATTGGAGCATACTAGGAAATTTTTCTACGGCAAACTATACATGTGCAGTTTTTATGCAACTGTGGCCTTGAAAAACCTCAAAACTTGGTCGATATGTTGATAAGGATGTGCAATTGGGATGGCTGTAGCGTTTTCGGTGGTTTTAAGAACCGTTTTATGATTTTGGTGGTACGTAGTGGAAACATAAACAAGATGGTATTATTTTTGAGCTACAAGACGATTCACAATTTTGGGCAATATTATCATAACTCTATATCTCTCTTTTTACACTAGATAAATTGTGATGAGATGTTTTATCTATGACAACTAAGTTCATTTGCAATATGTCAGAAGTTTGCTCTGTGGTGGATTCTGTAAATTTGTTTAAGACTTTAGCAACGTTTAAGTAGTTGTAAAGCCAATTTTAAAGTTTTTTCCTTTGCTAAAGGCATTCTAGGTGAATAAAATTAAATCCCGGACCAAAATAACCAAAAAATATACAGCATCATGGAACACCTTAATCATACAAAATATTTTATTTAATTGTAAATTTATCGCAATGCAAAATACTGTTTAATGTGTTTTTTGCGACCTCTATGTTTTAAGTAGAAAATAAGCACAAATTCATGTTGAGCTATCTCAAAAACGCTCCCATCAAATGTCATTGAAGTATCTTAAAAAGTGACTGAGTTACCTTAAAAAATTAAATCAAAATGCTTTTTTTATAGCCGATAACTTTTCAAGGAAGGAAAACTGTACTAAGGCAACTTTAAACCGGTTTATTTTCATCAAAAGAAATCCAGTCTTGAAGTATGGCTCATTCGTTTCCGGACACTGTATACAGGGTGTTTCTAAAATAGGGTTCCAAACTTCTGCTGCGTTTATAACTCATTAAAATAAGCCAAAAAGTTCCTATTAACATGTGCCCTAAAACGCACCCTTAGGAAGTTATATGCCTTTAAAAATATATGCCTTTAAAAGGGCTCAAACAAAACTGTTTTTTTTCTACTTAAATTTTCCACTCACCACTTTTACTAATTAAACACTGCAAAACTCAATTGACAGTTTATCAATAACTTAAATTGTTAAGCGTTGTGGCAACGTCAGTCTTTTATTTGCCATGGTAAACAGATTTTTGTAATTTTTGGCCTAATAACTTAAAGAGCAGAGTAGTTTTCAAACTCAATTTACTCGAAAACCATTGGAAATATCGATTTGGACAAAGATAATATTTTTTACGTAAAATTGTTAAGATTTTATAAATCTGTAGAGAAAATTGTAAAAATATTTAAATAAAAAAAATTACGGGCCGAAAACCCCCTTCACCAACCTAAATGGGACGCATATGATTTGCATGTCGAAAAACGGAGTAGCCCATGTTATTTAACGTAAAAAGTTATGTAAGACCCATAAATTTTTTTCTATTTATTTGCGACCGTTTTGTCAATAACAGAAAAAAAAACAGTTTTGTTTGAGCCCTTTTAAAGGCATATAACTTCCTAAGGGTGCGTTTTAGGGCACATATTAATAGGAACTTTTTGGCTTATTTTAATGAGTTATAAACGCAGCAGATGTTTGGAACCCTATTTTAGAAACACCCTGTATATGTATGTTTATTTTTCAAGCTTACAATTAACTTTGTAGTCTAAATAAATCATGACTAACTTGAGCGCTTTCAATACGGGTGGCCCATAATGTATGGGGAGTAACTGTAAATTGTAGACATCAAAATAATAGGTTTTAGCCAAATATGCACGTTTAAGACTGTAGTTTTTATGTTATAATAAATGTTGATGTTACGGGTATCAAGTTTTTAAAATTAATTGGTACTTTCATATTTATTGTCGACAGTTTCTAATAGAATATTTCTCATTTGTTGAATATAAAAAATAAATATAGAGTTAAATATTGCAAATTGTCTATTTTGTTTCAGTTTCGGATATAATGCATGTTTTGCACTTGCTTTAGTTAAGGTGTTTTGAAGCAAAGTTTAACATATAACTTTAGTTAAATTTGTTTGTATAAACTTCTACAGGTACAATAATCTCTACATGTGCAGATAAACCTGATTAGATTAGACCACTATAGGTTGATAAAACTTGCAGCTTTCCCCGCAGTATTTGCATTTATCCTTGCAAACTGTTATGCATGCTTAGCGTATCCCGCTCCGGCTTGAACTCCTGTCGCTCTGAATGCTAAACAATTCATGCCGTTTGCCTTTCAGTCATTTTTCTATACTTAAATTAGAAAAAAAAGCCAGACTTAATTTAATAGGAGTGAATTTTTGCAAATATGTATATATTTTTTAATTGTATATTTTTCAAGTAAAAAGAGTAAATCTTAGTTACTTTAAAATAATTTTAAAAACTTTCAGCCTGAAATTACGTTGAAAACTACTAATTTTTCTAAGAAACAGATGTTCAGGTGACACATCATTTTGAAGGAGTCTGCATTCTGTGCATCTTTTTAAATTAGATCCAATAGATGCTGAAATAATGCGTTTAGAGTGTAATGTATTTATAGTTCTTAAAATAATTCAAATTCCTGACCTTATTCATTTTTATTTTTATAAAATTACTATAAAAAGGATAGTATTAATACTTTTAATATTAAAAGTTATTATTAAAATAATGTGATCAATTTTAATTTTAGATCCTATGACATCAAACATAGCTCCCCAAACATCTGACCAGAGAGGATTTTCTGATACACCATATACCATTACTGAAAGCCGTTTGACACAAATACGCAGTAATTTCATGTACCCCTATTTTGATAAAGGCGGCAATGCAGACAATGAAGGAGACTATCAAAAAGAAATTCAAGCTTCTTCACCTCAAGTACACAAAAATTTAAATTTTCAGTTGCCATTTTTTGGATTCCGATTCAATTATACTCGTGTGTCTTTGAACGGTTATTTAGAATTCAGTGACCCACCACCAAACTACGGATACCCCCTCGTATTCCCAATAAAGGATTGGCCCAAAGTAAACGATCCATCTTTTATTGGAATATTTTTCAGTAAATGTAGAATAGGTAACTTGAGAGATGATGATATTGACAGAAGACCTCCCGGAGTGTATTTCAGAATGGAGAGGGATCTTAGGACAAGACAGGATCAAATGGGGGTAGAAATAAGAGAACGATTAACATGGGATATCAAAGAAGGCGTTATTGGGGCAGACACATTTAATCCTAAACATGCTATTATAGTTACTTGGAAAAATATATCATTTAATGGAGGTTTCGCCAACGCTTTATACCAGGTATATATTTTTGATTTATAACATGTACTCCAGTCGAATTAGAGTTTGAACGTAAAATAGTTATTTATGCACCAAGTAAAAAAAGTAAGTGTTTACGTGACGGCCTTGTTTAACAACACGTCTAGTGCATTAAACACTTTGAACGAGTTGCATACAATATTTTTTCTACGTTCATGCCAAAACCAAAAAATGTTTTATTTAGGTGGCACTAAGTGTAGAACAATAAAAAGCGTAATTTAATAGCAAAATATTTAATAGTTAAGCTAGGAACTAATATGTTAGGAACAATTTAACTCAAACTTTATTTTTACCATTAATGTTAAAAGTAAATGTACAATTTGTGCAATTTTCAATATTAATATTTCTTAGTGAATTATTTTTTAATTCTACTTCTTGATTTGTGACTGTAAATGTACTAGTACTTGGTATCTGTACATTGTCATTTTCTTCAGGTTAAAATATTTTTTTTGCAACATTGAGTTTGTTTGCAAGTGATTCCTTTGCGTATTACTCCGCTACTGTCCATTTGAGCTCTAGTATATCTACTCCAGTATCTACAAAAAGTGTTGCGGAGGATCTCCTGAAGCAGTGCCCTGTGTATAGCTTAGGATTCTCCAAATGCAGAAATTTTGCAATTTCATGCGGGATTTTAGCAAACGTGTTCACACTAATAGCTTGGACAATGCATTTTTCATGTCGATAATTGATAAAAAAAAAACGTTTATGCGGAATAAAATTGGGACGTAATTTCGTGTATTTATGATATATATGAATCAAATTTAATTCCTCCTCCACCTCACCTCTAATGACAAAACTTCGTTCTTTGTCAGTTTTTGACCGTAGCACCTTTACAATTAGTATTGAGCCTTGTTCTATGTCTTCGATACTGAATTTTTGGAGCTTATCTCTACAACATGCCCCTGCGAGTTAAATATTGCAGCGACCTACAAGCATTTTTAAAATGTTTTACAAAAGCTAAATAATTACCGACTTACTTTTTTCATCAAATACTGGGAGTCTGGAGCTTCTTTTAGAAATTTATAAATGTGTTTGCTGTTAAATACTTTTGACTTTTTTGGCCGAAATCCTACAGAGTTCTGTTTCATGAATGCCGTTAGTTAATATCAATATTTTCTTTTGAAGAAAGACAAGCTCTCACCATTACTCAGACCAAAGTGATGAGGGTTTAATATCATTCGATCTTTTTGAAAAATATGCAAGAAGTACATTTTCTGTATAATTTACAACTTTTTTATCGAAGCGCCACTTTTTAAAACGATTATAAATTTCTTCATATTGTTTTCTTGATTTACCTACTAGGTAATAAGTTTAATGACGCTGTATTTGCTATTTCACTGACTTCTTCTGCATCACTATCATCTATTTTTCCAATAATATTTATTCATTTTAAAACTTTAAATTATGTAATTTTAAGAATTAATTTTTGACTGACGTTTCTAGAACTACTAACGACTAGTGCAATAAAGAATCAGTTTTTCACTAAATATAGTTCAATAAAGTTTTGTTTTTTGCATGAACGTAGACATTTTATTGCACTTTATGACATAAATAATAAATAAATACTAACTCCAAAGAAGTGACGGTAAGTTGGCAAATTGCAATTAAGTGTTTAACACTTACGTATTTATTCACTTTTTTTAATGTCCATGAAAATCTAGACGACCTATCGGAAAATTAGTTATTTTGTGTTATAGGCCATTAAATTGCCTACAATTTAAGTAGGTACTAAAGTCATATTTCAGCAATTTGTTAACTGTCAAATAAAAGTCGAACGCGGAAAATCAATTTTCGAAAATTGCGCATTATTATTGCAAAAAGCCATGGATGTTGATGGAATTTATGGAAAAGACGGTAAATTCAATGACCAACATGTGTGCCAAAGGCCGATTCGATTAAAAATTAAATGGTTGCCCTAGGTATTTGTTAATTCGTTTCGTTCATTTTCTTGCAACTAATCGTTTAATTACTAAACGTTAATTTTAGAAGTTAATATTGAAAATGTAGGTTCTAATTGATCCAAAGAAACCTATCGAAGAAGAGAAATTCCAAAAAGTTGAAATTAAATTCCTCTTTACAACTAACAAAATAGGATCTGCAAAACAGCGTTATAAATGTCCCAGGGTCAAGCTAAATCCCGATCGGGAATTCCTTCTTTTTGCATTAAGGGACTCTTGTGCTTCAATCAATCACTGTTCTCAACTTGAACAATATAATCCTTATTTTCAGAATTAAGTTATCACTTTCATACATATTTAATATTTTCTTAAAATGATCTCTTGACATTGCATTTAAAATCAAAGGTTGCTGCTCTAATAATTTGTCCACGAAGGTAATTTAGTTTTTTCTTTATTGTTTGGTTATTTTATCATGAAGAAATGTTAAAATTACTGAAATAAACCTTTACACCAAAAGGATCGGTCAAAGATTTATTTTTATGAATATAGTTTTACCTAACTAAAAATCTTACACTGAAAAAATATTTAAATGAAATGTTTGCCTCAAACTAAATTTTTTTGTATAAATGTGTTATCAGTAGCCAAAAACGTACACCGAATCTGATACACTGCAACTGGTTTGTGCTATGTCTTCGTACGGAATTGAAATTGACTTCTGGTTTATTTGAACTTTCTTGTCAATTTTAATCAAGGACAACCTTATAGACGTTTTGTATATGTAGAGATATAGTTTATAAAGATAAGCCTTTCAACTAATTATTTGCATACAAAGATTGAAAGTTTCAATAATTTTAGAAAATAGCTGCTAGATAGTTAAGGAAGTGAATACGACCATCAAAGTTTCTAATAATACAAAAACGTATATAAGCAAACTAATATATTTTGTCAAAATATTTACTTATAGACCAATACCTTCCAAATGGTTCTTGCAACGGATGAAGTATATACATACGCTATGTTTAATTACCTGAACATTGACTGGACTAGTCATACCGAAGCAGGAGGTGATACGAGAAAAGGTGAAGGTGGTGTTTCGGCTTATGTTGGTTTTAATGCTGGAAACGGAACAAGAAGTTATGAATATAAGCCATACAGTCAAGAATCTGTTATAAGGGATCTCACTGCAACTGGATTTGGTAACGGATTCAAAGGAAGACATATCTTTCGTATAGATGAAAAAATCTTGCTTGGTTCCTGTAACAAAGACATAGGTAATGTATAACACGCAATATTTTTTGAGAATATTTCATACCAAATTCGTGTATTTCAATTTTATAAAAAGTATTTGTTCCCTTTCCTTTCTGAATAAAGCAAGTACTCCATCCATTTGTTGAAGTAAACATTGATGTGAACAAATTCGTTAATCTACAATGAGCATTCTGTTTAAGATAATGTAATTAAATTTGATATAATTTGACTAAAATTTTAAACGACTTGTACACAGGGTAGTGCAGTTTTTAAACCAAAATCACTGGTCGACGAAGCTCATAAGACACTACCGATGAACAACGCCGCAGGCGAAAAATTTTTGAGGTTTTATGGAGAGGAATTTTGAAATAAATAATAATATTTCTTCCGAATGCAGTCAATAAACTCGTTTTGAATTGTCCGTATGAACCTAATCTGATTTTACTGTTTACGAGAAGTTAGGAATTTTACAATAATAAAATGGAAATTATTTTCCATTATTATAAAATTATTTTGCCTTATTATTTGCGGGGCGAACTGTTGTATTTGTTATTGTTTGGTGTTTCATTTCACTCATTGGCCGACTAATTTTCACCAGCAGGCGACGGCGACGTTTGTGTTTTACTAATTAAATGTTTTAATTTTACTAATTAAAAAATGATATGATAAAGGGTGTTTCTTAAATAGAAGTCAAAAATCAAGTGGTGTATTTTATGGCCAAAAATAAGGGTTTCTTGTTATATGTATAAATGTCTTAGGACAGCCATTGTCCAGCTACATCGCGTCAAAAATTAAAACAAAAAGTCAGTTTTTAATTTTTAATTTCTAAACCGCTTAAGATAATTTAACCAAATTCGGTGTGCATATTTAACAAATGACAGTAGGTATAAAACAAAAATTACCAGCTTTAGAAACTGGTGGTGGAGGTGTGGGTATCATCGATCATTATTTGCCAAAAAATATGGGCCAATGTTTAATCTTAATTTTTGGTTTCTTTACACTTTTTGTATAAGAACAAAATTTATTTATTTGATCAAGTGCATTTTTACGATACTCATCTTATTACATTACTTCTTCATCTAATCTTGATAGATATATATTTGCGATTTTTTTGCTTCAATTTATACTGTTTCTGATAATAAATCTTCTGCATTTATTGATCCTTGAATACAGTGTATTTAATTCTGACATGGTTTTTAATAAATTAATTCATCTCACGAAAAGCTTCAATGTGGGTCCTGATTGAAATCCTCCGTATTTTTTAAAACTTTGTACTCCATTTTTGGCTTGGTCATTATCGTTACTTTTTCAGATTTCTATGTATGTAATTATAGACCAATTTGCTGTCTTAGTGCAGCAGGAAAAGTTTTTGAATCCATTGTTGCAGATGCTCTTCGTTTAAATTTTAATAGTTTAATTTCTATTTATCAACATGGTTTTTACCCCGGTCGGAGCACCAGAAAATAACTTACTGATTTTCAGTAACTATACTGTGAAGGTTATTGAGGATGGGCTCTTGGTTGCGTTTGACATATTTACGTATTTACCAAATACCTATTCAATCAAAAGTTATTAACAATTGAAAATCGAAAAAATAGCATTTTTCGAGTTTTTAACGGCGTTTATCTCGAAAATTATGCGTTTAACAAAAAAATTGCAAGACATTTTCTTCTTAAAATGGGTCAAAGAACAAGAAAATATTAATAATATATATTTTCAAAACATTATGCATTTATTTTTGACCTACTTTTATGTTATCATATTTTTGTTATTAATTAAAATTTTCAAGTTAATAAAAATATCTTCGGTTTCGGCATCGGCTTCGGCCGAAGGTGACCCATAAACCGGCTTCGGCTTTGGCCAAAAAAATCACATTCGGTCGGTCTCTACAAATAAGTGTAAAAATACAAAAAGTGAAGATAATACAATGGCGCATATGATGACCTATTTTATTTGTAATAATATACAGGGTGATATATTTTTTTGGCGAATAATGATCGATGATACCCACACCTCCGCCATTGGTAAGTTTCTAAAGCTGGTAATTTTTTGTTTCATACCTACTGTCATACTAAATATGTACTCCGAATTTGGTTAAATTATCTCTAGCGGTTTAGAAATTAAAAATTAAAAACTGATTTTTGTAAACTTTTGACACGCTTTAGCTGGACAATGAATGTCCTAAGAGCCCACAAAAAAACTTATTTTTGGCCACAGAATACGCCCCTGAATTTTTTACCTCTATTTAAGAAACAACCTGCATCACACAGAAATACAAAATATAAATTGCTTAATTGCTTACCAAGTAATCTTTAGATAACTTTTTAATACTTTCAGTCAGGAATGTTAATAAATATGTTTACACATACTTTTTAAGTCAGTTCGGTTATAATTTCACTTGCCTTTTAACAATGTGTCATATAAATTTTTGGTTTCGATTATATTAGCAGATAAATTTAATAAAATCGGTAATGGGATTCTGTTATTTGGGTATTTTGAACTCGATCCGAAAGGTCATTTAAGAATGAATTATATAAAACTATGTGCAGTCAAAAAATCTCACCGTGAAAAAATCAAATTAAAGATTTAAAAAATCCGTATCACTAAATCACACACTTTAGTTAGTTCGAAAAACAATCTTTTCTTATTCCCAAAATGAGGAATTATTTATGAAATGTGTTGTGATAACCAGACAAGAAAGAGCGAAGTAGTAACCTTTTTAAACCGGTGTAATTTCTGAGACAACTCTTTTAATTCTTTTCTTTGATTATTTGCTGAGTTTTTCATGTAGGGTCAGTAGACTATATCAAAATTTATTAAAGAAAATCTTAAGATAATTTGAATTTAATTGCCGCCAGAATACATTCTCTAGGTACGTAGATTTAACAACTTTAATTTACTGTCATATTTTTTTACTCTATTTTAACTCAAACAAATTACAAATTCAGATTTTTTCGCTAAAAATAGTCTTATCAAATTAAGTCAAACAGTTCTTCGATAGTAGAGGTTGTTTATTTTGTATTTTGCCACCATTGAAAAAATTTGCATCAAAAGAATCTGTCGTGGGTAAATTTTATGGAAATAGTTTTGCCTAACCAAAAGTCTCTATCTGAAAAAAAGCAGAAAAATATAAAATTATACAAAATGCTCATCACTGTATATCACATACGCACTATGATCTTGTCTGAACCAAAGTAGCAGTCTAGCAACAATGCTTCGACCATACACTTTTAGCTGAGAATATCAAATTCGACATGAATCGAATAATCTAAAATAAGATTACTGTGCAGCTAAATAAACTAAAAATAACTCTTAAACTGTTGACTTCCCAAAAAAATTATACTGTGAAACCGATAGTTTTAGATAATTCCTATTTATTCAACTGATGAGTAAATTTATTTTACAAAAAAAAATTGTAACTCAGCAGCGTAAATTTCATTAATCTACATATATTTTCCGAGATATTTGTGTACATATGATACTTCTCAATGTGTAGTTTAGGACAAATATTCATAAAAACTTTCCTTCCTTAAAATAACCTAAACATCCCTTTATTACTGGGACATAGTTAAGGACTACAGCGTATATACGTATATTGTAATATTTTTTTTTATATTTTACAGATGGTGCAAATTTGCCATTAATGTTCGCTCCTGAAAGTGGCAATATGTTGGGTGGAACTGTTGTCAATATTACAGGCCCTTGTTTTAGTCCAAATGACCAGATTAGATGTAAATTTGATGTAGCTGATATAGTAACTGGATACGTTGTCGACAGAAATAGAGCAATATGCATTCAACCACCGTTACTTGTAGAAGGATATGTTAGACTGGAGATTGCAATTGGTCCAAATCCTTTTAAATGGAAAGGACAATATTATGTCGGTAAGATTAGATTTCTTTATGAGGTACAACAATTTATTCAATTTGTATAAAATATAGTTTATGTAAGTACCATGTATTCACATAAGCTAAGAAAGCGATGATCTCTCTGAAGATGTCATTGGAAACAACCGAAAAAAAAATTAGTAAATGTGCGCAAGAGAAATCACTGGAATAGTGTATTTCATTAGGAGTCTGGAAATAAGGATTTTTCCGTGCGCGTGGGGCAATTTCTCGTGTGAGGTGAAGACGAATACGGGGAGTCATGCAGGCATGGAAAAATCTATTTCTGGACGTGTAATGAATGAAATTTTTTATTATGCTTCTTTGAAAACGAAAACATAAAAACAAAATATAACATAAAAAAGATATACGAAAGAAAACTGGAACATTTTTATTTGCATAACAGTTATAGGAATAAAAAAACATGTTGAGTAAGAATATTGAAAATTAACTAACTAACTACTTATTAATTATAACAGCTCTAATTAATAATGTTTTTAGTTTGTTAATGGTTATATTTATTGTGCAATTTGTATTATTGCACAAGTTTAGTCCTTTTGGAGTTTCGTTTTGTGAAACTGCAGTGAAACTCATCGCAAAAGTTTTGATTTTCTCGAACGAATGATACAGTTATTGTATTTTACGAGTGGGAAAGGTTAAACAGTTTTCGTGATACCTCAATTTTTCTTTGTATGAATTCTTCTATACAGGGTTGGAAAGTCCCCATGGTTCATCGGCCGTTACGTGAGAGCGATAAAGTAAGTCATAGAATTCCGTGCGATAGAGAAAGATGGCTATAATGAAGGCGTCTAAATAGTCACCGCCCATTTCGCTCTTCCACAACTAAGAAGTGGATCTTATTTGTTTTCACCGTTATCAACGGTGAAATCAGTCTTTTCTGCGTCGTCTTCATCCATTTCTATTTGGTAAAAACCACTTGCAAGATCCAGGGTCGTAAAATATGTGCAATTGCCTAATTTACTTAATAAATCTTCAATATTCGGTATTGGATATTTGTTTTCTATAGTTTTCTCATTTAATTTTCTGTAGTCAATAACGATACGAAATTTTTGTTTACCACTGGCATTTGCCTTTTTTAGGACAATCCATATTGGTGAATTATAAGGAGATATTGATTCCTGAATGATATTACTTTTGAGCATTTTGTCCATTTGTTGTTGAACTTCCTCTTTGTAAACGTGAGCATACCGATAATTTTTCGTGTATACAGGTTGTTCGTCTGTAGTCCGTATTTTGTGTTTTATTTGGCTAGTAAATGTAAGTGGTATATCTTCATGGTGAAATATATCTTTATAATTGTAACATAAGTTTTCGATTTTTGATTTTTCTTCAGGATTCAAATGTGACGTTCTTAAATTATCTTCTAAATTTTGGATTAATATTTGTTCTACGTAATCCTGATCCATTGGTATATTTTTCTTTAATATTTCGGTGTTATTTAAAATTTCTTGGGTGAACGGTCTAATTTTTATTGGATTTTCTATTTGCAGAGTTTGAGTCTCTTCGGAATTATTTGCAACGGTAGTTATGACAAAGTTATTTTCGATGTTGACATGAGCTGAGGGTGTTTCTAGTCCATTCTTTAAGTTTTGGTGTGATATTATACCTTCCTTAAGTTTTGTTTTTTCTACGGGTAATTTTGTTACAATTTCGGTTCTGGGTGGTATTACAATTTTCTTGGAATCTGGAGTTGACATATTTAGAGTAATAGATGTTTTTCCTTTCCCTAGTATTAGTTTATTTTTATTAATATTAATTTGTGCTTTTAAATCTTTTAGCATGTCTATTCCTATTAAGCCTCCAAATTTTGGGTTGAAATCAAATAAATAGAATTTGTGTTCTTTGTTCGAATTAAAGGTTTTAGGTAATTTAATCTTTACACTTTACACAAAGAGTTTTCTTGCCAATTCTGGTTTTATTAAACTTTTAGTAGATCCTGTATCTATAAGGAAATTTTCTTTTAGGTCGGTGATGTAAATATATAGTAATTGAGTTTCTATTAGAGAGTTTTGTATTATTTCGGTGTTTCGGTTGACGGTTCCTTCTGAAAATCCTGATTTTCGGGTTCATTGGTCACGGTTTCTTGTTCTGGGGGATATTCTTCTGTTCCAGTGTATTCTTCAAAGTTTTCGGGATTTGTTTCATAGAAATCATAGTAGGATTGCGAATTTGACCGGGTTCATATTGATCTACAGGGTATTCTTCATATCGGTGACAGTCTTGATTTATATCTGAATAATGAAGTTCTTCGAATGTGAAGCGAGGTCGTTGAAAGGTTGTTCTTTGAGGAATATTTCTTTGGATGGTAAGGTTTCCGGAGGAAGTGTCCATGGGTATAGGATAAGTTTGTTGTCTTCTTTGTACAGAACTCGGTGTATTACCTTGTTGTGGACTTTGTGGTCTCGGAAATGATGAATTTCTCATAGGACGTTGACCTGCTTGCTGTTGCCAATAATTTGGTCTGCTTGGCCATTGATATGGACGATTTGTTTGATTTATTGGTTGCTTATTTGGAGTTATAGCTTTTCTTGTATTATATACAGGTAAAGGGTTTCTTCTTGGCAGTTGATAATTATTAACTTGTGGATTTCTGTTTATTGGTGGATTATTCGGGGCTTGTGTCACTTTTCTAATATAATTTAGGTTGTTTTCTTCAGATACTATATTTATCGCTTCTTCTAAAGTTTTAGGATTTCTGCAACGTACTATTAAACTGTATGGTTCCTTAAGTCCTTTCATAAATGTTTTCACGGCTAAATTTCGGTACATTGAAATTTTTTCAATTCTTAGAGCTTTGGTGATTACGGAGGAATTTACTTTAGATAGCAAAAGACTGAGAGTGTCTTGACATTTTTCGCCAAAACGGAGGGATGATTCATTATTTTCTTGTTTTAACATTATAAGGTCTCTCATAAGAGCATCTTTGTCGCGTTGATCGCCAAATGTAATCAAAATTGCTAGTTTTAGTTCATTCCACGACTTCAGATTTCGTACTGCAATTAATTATGCCGCCCTTCCTACCAATTTACTTATATGGGCTACCAAAAAGGAATTGAAATTTGCATCATCTGGTGTTCCTAATATTACGATGACGTTTTCATATGCCAAAATAAAGTTTGAAATAAGAATTGGGTCTCCATTGAATGGGGGGACTGTGTCCATGTAATTTCTAGTTGATGGTTGAGCCATTCTTGTCTCTGTTCTATTTACGATATTAATTCTACGATTCGTAGGTATGCCTCCAAATTGGTTAATAATTTCGTCAATTTCAATGTCTGCTCTTGACATCAATTGTTTATAATTTATTTGTTGTTAGTAAGATAACACTTTATTTAATTTTTGATTTTAAAGTGTGACGAAAGTTATATGTTTAATCGCAACGAGGGATATACTTGAACGAGTCAAGCAATGCTCTATAGTAACAATATATAACAATTGTCAGCGGGACAATTTGTTTTATATTTTGTATTTTAAATCTTATAACTAATAAGCGTGTTAGTATATGTCACAAAGCTGCTCTTAACCTACTCAGTTCAGCCAATTACAACTTTGAAAGACATATGATTTCGAAGTGCTAAGCGAAAAAATTAAATTTTGGAAATTTTTGGAAAAAAGGATCGGGTTGGTAAAATTGCTTGCGGGATAAATGATCAATCGTACTTACATTAAAATGATGAGGGATGTCTTCATGTCCTGGGTCTTTCTTGAATTCTGGATTTTTGGATTTCTGGATTCTCGATTTCCTTTTTCTTGGTTTCTTTCTTCTTAACTATGAACTACTTTTCTCCACGGACTCTGGCGTTGACCCGGGGTACTTCTTCATTCACTCAGGGGGGTTACTTCGAAGTAAGTGGTTGAAACCAGCGTCGATTTTCAATTTTTGGAAAATGACTCTTCTTAGCTATCCCACTTCTGACACCAGTTACGCGTTTTGCGCTAACGACTCTGTTTTTAAAAAATCTCAATAACTTTTTTTAAAAGGATTATAAAAGATTCACAAACAGAGCACTTTATGTCTCGGTGGCTGGAGAACAAGTGTTTATTCATGCAAAAGTATGTATTCTACAGAATCATTATCATGTCATATCGTATTTCCAAGATAGCGGGTTCGCGGAGCTCGTAACATACATGTTAAATATCAGGTAGCATATAGACTTTCTTAAATTTAGTTTACTTTGCTGTATATTTCTATTTTAAAGCCATATATTCGGTATTTGTATTCAGCGCACGGAAAGAATCGGAAATCGGCAAAACTTTTTCCGTGCGCTAGCCGGAAAAAGCCCATCTTATATTATTATTAATTCAGATGAAAATAAGATGTTTTCAAAGAAGAAAAATTATTTTTTAAAGTCCTTAGTTCAGTGTAATATTTAAAATTTTCGGAAAATTCACTCAGTTAAAACAGATAATAAATAAATACCTTCGTAGTTTCGGTTTGGCTCAACCAAAATTAGCAAACTTGACCTCATCAGAATTGTACTTAATCAAATGCGATAAATGAATTATTATTATTATATCGCCACCACTAGATGACTTTTCTAAAAAATTAAGAGATTTTTTCGTTAGCCGTTGGTTTAGAGCCAAAAATATTAGATCTAACCAAATTATTATCGAACAGAATTGCGTTAATTGAGCAAAAGGATTAAAGTTTGTACAAAACTACATACGCTGTACACTCATTGTATATTAAAATATTTTTTATGCGTTTATTTATACCCGTCAGAAAACGGGAATGCTATTTTAGTGTCAAATTCTACAATAGAATATTTTTGCATAATTTTTAACAAATTTTTAATTTAAATTTGAATGTTTTAATAAATTTAAAATATGTGTTGCCTATTTTGGGTTTATATATCTAAAATTAATGTATTTATTGATTCTACATTATTTATTCATGCATACTGAATAAAGCAAGATACTACTTCTACAAATTTAAAAGTAATTTATGGAATTTGTTTCAGAATCACCAGCCACTGCAGCGCAAAAAATTTATTTCAGAGACACAAAATATCACGAAAAATCTCCAAGTGAAATAAAAATAACATGGGAAAAACAAAATTTGACAACTAACGAAAACGCAAATATACGCATCTCTTTATGGGGTTACAGGGAAACGACTATACGACCAAGATTTCTTTTTATAACAGATATTGCTGAAAACGTTCAAAATACTGGAGAATATACAATAATTCCATCCCAATTCAGGACACGCAACAATCAATTTCTTACAGACATTAAATTTGGTTTCATTCAGATTAATTTAACAGAATCCATAAAGGTAATTATTACATTTATTTATTTTTAATGGTTTCCATTATTTTCCCTTAATCAGATACTAAAATAATAAATGTATGTATGTATGTGTGTGTGTGTGTGTGTGCGTGTGTGTGTGCGTGTGTGGTGCGTGCGTGCGTGCGTGCGTGCGTGGGGGTGTATGTATGTATGTATGTATGTATGTATGTATGTATGTATGTATGTAGGTACGTACGTACGTACGTACCTACGTATATATGTATGTATGTATGTATGTATGTATGTATGTATGTATGTATGTATGTATGTATGTATGTATGTAGGTACGTACGTACCTACGTATGTATGTATGTATGTATGTATGTATGTATGTATGTATGTATGTATGTATGTATGTATGTAGGTACGTACGTACCTCTGTATGTATGTATGTAGGTATGTACGTACCTACGTATGTATGTATGTATGTATGTATGTATGTATGTGTATGTCTAAAGTAAGAAATATGTCGTTAAGTCGAATAAGTAATCGAAGACTTAAATTATGGTAGATACTGTAATAGATTTAAAATTATTTTTATTTTTTTCTTGGAATATGAGGTACATTGTAATGTATCAATTTATATGAAAAAAAAATGAAAATGACTTGCTATACCATATATTTACTTATTTATTTATTTAGCAATGTGAACATTGAATAGTACATAAGCATTTGATATAAAAATTGTATAGTATAGTAGACTTAACAGCAATAAACACAACATAAAAATATAACTATATATAATTGTTATAATCCACCTATTTTTCTAACGAGTGTTGTAAGAGTTATTTAAAATACAATAAATATCTTTTTGGTAAAACAATCAATAAGTCCACTAAAATTAAGTTTTTCATCAATAGTGTCATAAGTAAACAAATTACACTCATCCCAACCTAAATGTAATAAATCATTGATGAAGCAAATTAATAGCATTGCACCAAGCACAGTACCTGGGTGATACACCATTAGCCACCATTGTCTTTTAATTATTTCTATTACTATAATACGTACGAATCAAACCAACGAGAACCATTTCTATTCGCTCCAAAATTGCATTTTTTAACAAAATCGAACTTTACTAAAATGATCATATCACAATAACTTTTATTTTTTATTTACTTTTATTTTAAATTCCAAAACGCCTGCTATATACAAATATTTTAAATATATTTAGTAGAATGGCTTTCATCTTATAAAACATATTTATAACTATGAAAATACTTATAGAACTAATATTTTCTCTGAAAAATTGTTATATCATTTTTTATTTAGATATAGCATATTTTATTTGAAAAAATGGTAGGAAACATATCATGGTGTTAGACAAGACAATTTTTAGGTTTTTTGACTATTTAAAAAGTGTTTTTCTCCAACCGTCACAAAATTATGATATTTTTTTCACTGTCAGAAGTCTCTAAGGGTACTGAGAAAAAAAAATGGTATCTTTAGATTCGTAATACGTGTCCACTGTACTCTTTCCAGTTGTCCAGCTTCAAAAATTTTGCCACTTCTTGCGAGACGGCACTGGTTTTATGAATACCGACCACCATTCGATGACAGTTTCCACTGATATATCTAAGAAATTATCGACGTTCTACCAATTCGGATGGACGTTAAGCAACATATTTTCGATAAAAACTTAAATAATTGTCTCCCAGCACAGTAAAAGAACGTGGTCTCTTGGTTTAGGTATTTAGTATTTTCAACATTATGAATTGTTGAATTGACTAATTCATCAGAACGGCATGCTCCTGCAACCCCCAATATTAGAACGACCTATAAAGAAGCTTTTTATATTTTTTTTCTTTTATTTTTAAAGTGTATACCTTCATCATCAAATATAAATTATCAGGTGCACTGTTCAAAAAGCAATCAAGTTGCCCCTTTGTAAATACTCGCGATGCTTTCGGTACATATCCTTCATTTTTTCTCTTGAGAAAAGCACGTAACTTTCAATATTTGCTTATAGGTATCAATCTCCTTCTTTATGTCCAACGTCAATACATTTTCAGAATACAACTTAATGTTTTTTTCTTTGCACCAATCCATAAAACGAGATTTATTTGGGAGAAGATTCAAAGAAACCAAATGAATTCAATTAGCAATATGGCGACTAATGTTTGACAACATGACTACATCAATATAACCTACTTACCTACTTTATTGTCCAAATTTGGTTTGAATAATTTCAAAGCAAAATTAATAATTAAATGGGGGATTTCGGCTGGAGAAAAAAATACCATGTTTTTTTTACTCGGATTAAAAGTGTATTGTTTGTCTCGCAATTTTGCATCCGCTAGGATACGCTACGCTTCGCTTCGCAAATACAAAATTTGCTCGCCACAAAAGTAACGTTTTTAATACTATTAATATTAATATTGTTATATAACAATATACTATTTGTGAAAGCTTTTTTTTAAGGCACGGAGTACAAAAGATGCTCAGTACAATAAAATAATACGGAATCTTAATAAAATCTTAATCTTATAAAACTATTAAACACTACTAAGAATAACTTTAAGATGTATGAATAGGTGGTCGTTAGAAATCAATATTTTTTCGTGTTTNATAGAAAAATTTTCATTTCTAGTGATATTTGAAAGCCAAAAAGCCAAAAATCTTCGTGGATATACGATTCACGGACTTCATATGGACTTCTTGAAACAGATACCGTTTGGACTATAAAGCAACAAATGTTTTACAAAAATGTTGTTAGGATGAGCCGTTCTGGAGATAAATAGTAAAATGTCATAATTATCATTAATCTCTCAAGCAGCTACTCTTTGAACAAAATAAAATATTATTGAAATGGTTAACGTCAACTGTTCTTTTTTCATTTGAAAAGAATGAAAAAAAATCTTATGTATTTAATGTTCTTTGATACCAAATATTTAAGTAAGCATGCAAAATATATCTAACCTACTAACATATACTTAGAATTTTCATGTCCAAAAAATTTGGAATCAACGAAGCTAGTGTTTTTTTTATTTTCACAATTTTTAAATTTTTCTTAAAATTGCAGCATATGAAGTTTTAAAAATGGAATTTTAATATCAAAATGAAATTTAAATATACATACATACCTATATCACTATGAGGGAAAATTAATTTAGCAAAAAATGAAGTTGGCTATGAAACCTTTTAAAAATATTTAGACTGATAAGCAATTCACAATATTTTACAAATTTTTTTTTTTTCGTTAAATTATGTACGAAACAATTTCTAGAAATATAGACCATCCAGCACAATTATAACTAATTTTAAAACTGAAATTGATCTTTATATTATTTAAAATCGAATTCAGTGTTACTGAATATTGTTGGACTTACTGGAACATTCTATTTAACTTCAGTTTTAAATGAATTATAATTAGGCCTTCGGTCTCTTTTTACATACCTGGAAAATGTTGGAATTTTAAAGAAGGCCTGTCAAAGAAAACCCTTCGACCATTCGCTATTACGTCTAGCCTATACCTCCACCTTGCGTCCAAGGGTCTCCTTCTTACTTCGATAACTGTTGACGAATTTCCTCTAGCTACGACTGATGTCAGCTGCGTTGCCCTAACTTCTCCAAATGCGTTATCATCCATTTGCTCAAATCTTCCTTGTACTTCTAAATTATCTGTTAATGTTGTAGATTTAACTAAAACAAATTCTCCTTTTCCATTGAATGTGTATTCTACGTCGTCAAAAGTTACAAAGTGCGGGTCTCCGTAAACACCAGCTATACCCGGAGCCTGATAAGCAACACAGTCTTGTGTGGGTCGTCGCTCAAATCGAAGAGTTTCACATCCTACTGCCTGTTCTTCTTGCCACAAGCAACATAAATATTTGGGAACTATATCGTTGAACCATTGTGATAGCGTAGGAACTTTTGTTGCTTCATTGTAAGGCATTTTACCAATGTTATGACAACGTCGTGGACTAGATCCCCATTGTTGGTCGTATGACAACATTAAAAATCCATTTTTATCATAACAACATTGCTGTTCAGAGCCCTCTAATCTGAAAACAAAATTCAAATTTAAATTTGCAAAATTCAACATTCTTGAACATGTTTTTCTTACGTTGGAGATCCGGTCTTTACGCAGTGAATAGCTTGATTATTGTAGTAGCACTGGGGATTTGAATCTTTATCGCAGTCAGTATCAGGCAAATATTTTCCTTTATCAGCTAGAGCTTGTTGAATCGTACATGGACACTGAGGAAGTTCGTGAGCAAAATTTTTTAAATATCTATCAGTTCTCAACCAGTCATTGCAGAGATACATCGGCCAATTTGAACCATACATATTTTCCCATTGAAATTGAAAATACCAACCCAGTGGAATAGGTTTACTCCAAATTAAAGGCGTTATTTCTACTACTTGTTGCGTTGTTGTATACGTGTTAACCTAAATATAAATATTATTATTTTCAGTCACAGACGCTCAAAAATATACAGTCGCATTCATAAAACATTTATAAATTTGAAATTTATTTATTTACTTATTTAAGATACTTTTGTGTGAACAGAATAAATGCAAATTTTGTATTAGTCAGCGCTAAATACCTCTCAACTAATAAAATTGAAACAGATCGTCGTATTTTAAAATACTGTTGCATTATTGTCCACCAAAAACCATTTTCTATAACCAAAAACGCTAAAATTATATGTAGTATTCCAAACTAAATTGTCCTATAAGTAAGTAGTAAGCATGTTAAAGCAAAATAATAAAACACGAAAAAATATTGATTTCTAACGACCACCTATTCATACATCTTAAAGTTATTCTTAGTAGTGTTTAATAGTTTTATAAGATTAAGATTTTATTAAGATTCCGTATTATTTTATTGTACTGAGCATCTTTTGTACTCCGTGCCTTAAAAAAAAGCTTTCACAAATAGTATATTGTTATATAACAATATACTATTTGTGAAAGCTTTTTTTTAAGGCACGGAGTACAAAAGATGCTCAGTACAATAAAATAATACGGAATCTTAATAAAATCTTAATCTTATAAAACTATTAAACACTACTAAGAATAACTTTAAGATGTATGAATAGGTGGTCGTTAGAAATCAATATTTTTTCGTGTTTTATTATTTTGCTTTAACATGCTTACTACTTACTTATAGGACAATTTAGTTTGGAATACTACATATAATTTTAGCGTTTTTGGTTATAGAAAATGGTTTTTGGTGGACAATAATGCAACAGTATTTTAAAATACGACGATCTGTTTCAATTTTATTAGTTGAGAGGTATTTAGCGCTGACTAATACAAAATTTGCATTTATTCTGTTCACACAAAAGTATCTTAAATAAGTAAATAAATAAATTTCAAATTTATAAATGTTTTATGAATGCGACTGTATATTTTTGAGCGTCTGTGACTGAAAATAATAATATTTATATTTAGGTTAACACGTATACAACAACGCAACAAGTAGTAGAAATAACGCCTTTAATTTGGAGTAAACCTATTCCACTGGGTTGGTATTTTCAATTTCAATGGGAAAATATGTATGGTTCAAATTGGCCGATGTATCTCTGCAATGACTGGTTGAGAACTGATAGATATTTAAAAAATTTTGCTCACGAACTTCCTCAGTGTCCATGTACGATTCAACAAGCTCTAGCTGATAAAGGAAAATATTTGCCTGATACTGACTGCGATAAAGATTCAAATCCCCAGTGCTACTACAATAATCAAGCTATTCACTGCGTAAAGACCGGATCTCCAACGTAAGAAAAACATGTTCAAGAATGTTGAATTTTGCAAATTTAAATTTGAATTTTGTTTTCAGATTAGAGGGCTCTGAACAGCAATGTTGTTATGATAAAAATGGATTTTTAATGTTGTCATACGACCAACAATGGGGATCTAGTCCACGACGTTGTCATAACATTGGTAAAATGCCTTACAATGAAGCAACAAAAGTTCCTACGCTATCACAATGGTTCAACGATATAGTTCCCAAATATTTATGTTGCTTGTGGCAAGAAGAACAGGCAGTAGGATGTGAAACTCTTCGATTTGAGCGACGACCCACACAAGACTGTGTTGCTTATCAGGCTCCGGGTATAGCTGGTGTTTACGGAGACCCGCACTTTGTAACTTTTGACGACGTAGAATACACATTCAATGGAAAAGGAGAATTTGTTTTAGTTAAATCTACAACATTAACAGATAATTTAGAAGTACAAGGAAGATTTGAGCAAATGGATGATAACGCATTTGGAGAAGTTAGGGCAACGCAGCTGACATCAGTCGTAGCTAGAGGAAATTCGTCAACAGTTATCGAAGTAAGAAGGAGACCCTTGGACGCAAGGTGGAGGTATAGGCTAGACGTAATAGCGAATGGTCGAAGGGTTTTCTTTGACAGGCCTTCTTTAAAATTCCAACATTTTCCAGGTATGTAAAAAGAGACCGAAGGCCTAATTATAATTCATTTAAAACTGAAGTTAAATAGAATGTTCCAGTAAGTCCAACAATATTCAGTAACACTGAATTCGATTTTAAATAATATAAAGATCAATTTCAGTTTTAAAATTAGTTATAATTGTGCTGGATGGTCTATATTTCTAGAAATTGTTTCGTACATAATTTAACGAAAAAAAAAAAATTTGTAAAATATTGTGAATTGCTTATCAGTCTAAATATTTTTAAAAGGTTTCATAGCCAACTTCATTTTTTGCTAAATTAATTTTCCCTCATAGTGATATAGGTATGTATGTATATTTAAATTTCATTTTGATATTAAAATTCCATTTTTAAAACTTCATATGCTGCAATTTTAAGAAAAATTTAAAAATTGTGAAAATAAAAAAAACACTAGCTTCGTTGATTCCAAATTTTTTGGACATGAAAATTCTAAGTATATGTTAGTAGGTTAGATATATTTTGCATGCTTACTTAAATATTTGGTATCAAAGAACATTAAATACATAAGATTTTTTTTCATTCTTTTCAAATGAAAAAAGAACAGTTGACGTTAACCATTTCAATAATATTTTATTTTGTTCAAAGAGTAGCTGCTTGAGAGATTAATGATAATTATGACATTTTACTATTTATCTCCAGAACGGCTCATCCTAACAACATTTTTGTAAAACATTTGTTGCTTTATAGTCCAAACGGTATCTGTTTCAAGAAGTCCATATGAAGTCCGTGAATCGTATATCCACGAAGATTTTTGGCTTTTTGGCTTTCAAATATCACTAGAAATGAAAATTTTTCTATGCTCATAAAAAAAACGCGGGCTTAACTTTTGGTGGCACAATATGTTAAAAAAATCGCAAAATGTCATATTTTTCTTCCTATTTAATTATGTATCTTTTCAAAAGTTGATTTTAGGCGAAAATGGAAGAGGGGAAAAAATGTTTATAATTAAATTTTTTACAAAATGTGACTAGTTACAAATCGAACGAATCATGATTGTTATTGTAAAAATCGAAAAAAATCACCAAAAATGGGGTTACTTTTTAGGGAATTTTTTTGATGTTTTTAAATTGGTTATAGGACCTTCATACTTGGCTCAAGAAAACTTCGTGATATGTAGAATCATCACACCAAATTTCATCAAAATCCGTTCTATAGATTTTGCATAATAATTTGCAATCCAGTATTTGAAAAAAAATTTGCAAATTTTCAGAATTTTACACAGCAAAAACCAAAACCCTTAGATACTTGAAAATTTAATCACATATAGAAGGGCTCTGAAGCTTTTAAACGCTTTTTGAAAAATTCGAATCCGTCAATTAGGACAGGCACTTGTTTAAACATTGGTCGAATTTTTGTATGTACTTATAATTTCACTTATTGACTAATTTTAGCGGCTTATAAAATGCTTATTATTTTGGCGTAGGAATTCAGTCAAAATAAATTCATTCTATTAGAATTTAATCAACAAGCTTTATATTTTTTGAAAAATGCATATTCATATTTTGCTTAATTGGAGTATCGCAACTTCTCCTTTACCAAAGTCGCTTAGTGTGTTACGTTTATTCGGTTTTCAGACAAGTAAAAATTACTGATAATATATATTTCCATCCGGTGTATACTTTTTGGCACTATATATATTTTTTTAGGCGTCACTGTTTACACTCCAACATATATTTTAAATCAGTCCGAGGTTATTATGATGTTTGATAACGGTGCCGGTGTGGAAGTTCTTGATAACCAAGGTTATATGACCGCTAGGGTGTATTTGCCATGGACATTTATAGTAAGTTACCTACGTTAAGTATGAATATAGTGATTTATTTTTATTTGCTTGTAGAATAGAACAATGGGACTTTTTGGAAACTGGAGTTTCAACCAAGAAGATGATTTTACTTTACCTGATGGTACAAGAGTAAGCGTTGTATCAAATGTCAATGATATGGAAAGGGTTTACAACGATTTCGGTTCATTTTGGATGATAGATGATGTTCTAGATTTACATAAAGGACGAGCACTGTTTCATCGAGAATTTGGTCGTACGTCAGCTAGTTATAACAACAGAACATTTAGACCACAATTTCTGATGATGCCAGAGGACATAATTCCGGCAAATAGATCTCAACATATCGAACGAACCTATCAAATATGTAGTACGAAAATGTATGAGTGCTACTATGATTTTGCCATGACTTTAAATAGAGATCTAGCTCATTTCACACAGAATTATAAAGCCACAATATATGAATTAAAGGAAACCACCAGAACACAAGTTGTGTCTTGCGGCATTTTAGAAACGCCTAGATTTGGTAGAAAAAGCACATTCCTCTTCATTCCAGGAACTAGAGTAACGTATGAATGTAATCAAAATTTTGTATTAGTGGGTGATAATAGAAGAACTTGTCAGGCCGATGGAAATTGGGATATTCCTGATTATGGATACACAGAGTGTTTACGTAAGTAAAATTTAATTTAATTTAATAAAAACCAACATTACTACTCTTCACATGATGTTTCATGTAATGTCAATATTTTCAGTTTTATTTGCTATTTTATGCAGAGAGAACTCTTTAGATCTACGTTTAATTTCTTATAGGCTCTGAAATAAGTAACCTTGCTTTTAAAAGTAATAACATTTTTTTCATAGGTCAACAAGAATATTCACAACGACAAGCAGCCATCACATGGGGTATTATCCTTGCAGTTCTCGTACCACTATTTTTACTGATTGCTTTTATTGCCTACAAATGTTATCAAAAATATTTAAATTCAAACCAAGACAATGAGTGGCAATATGATGCTCCTAAGAGTTTCCAGAATTTAACTAGATCTTTTAGTCCAGAATATTTTGATGATGAACTTTCACGCAGCCCTATATCTAGCGATAAATCTGATACCAGTTTTAATTTATTGAAGAAAAGGCGAAGCTATGACAAGAGCTATAGAACTCATGAACCATTGAAGGGTTTGCCTCAAATTGAATTTGAAGATAAACCAGTGGATCCCAATATGCCAGAGTTCGAGCCAGAAACGAAATCTTTAAAAAGTGATATAAGATCAACGAACAGCCCAACTTCTAAAAGTCCCACCTCAAGTGTTTTATATAGCACTCCGTATTCTACAAAGCCAGATTTGTTAACATCAAATAATGAAGGCAAATTATACAGTGATGATAATTATGCAATACCTGTGAAAAAATCACCGAAAGGACGATTTAGCAGTCAGAGTAGTATTATCACAGACGTTTAAACTACTAAAATGTTAAGAGTACTTTGTAAATTTAGATTGTGTATATTGCATTGCAAAGATTGTGACAAGCATTTTTTGGATATACCGCGTAACAACGAGATCGTTATACAAATAATATTTTTTTAACGTTTGAAATATAAATTTTTGTTTTGTACCTAATTTAATAATTTTCACATAAACATCACTTGTAGCTTCCCGGAAATCAAATTTAAGGTTTGTAATAGCTTCCATTATATATTTTTTTATATATTTAGATGATCATAGAATTTACAATTTTTACCTAGATTTTACTAAAATACATCTTTTTTAGCTTCATTTTTAAGATTATTTATTAATACATACCTAACATTTTTTTAAAAATTCATGTATTTTGACATAAGTTTACGGAGTACTCAAAGATTAACATAGACTTATTTTTTATGTGAAATATGGAAGTCACTAACAAACGTCTTTTGTTTTTTGCCACCAAACTGGTATTTTCTGCTAAAATCAATCAGTGATGGACAAATATATAAAAAAGATACATACTTATATACATAGGTACACAGAGGACTAACCTTAGCATGTGAGATTGACATAATAATAAAATATCATTAGATATTAACTAATTTTGTAATATGTAATAAAATTTATAAACATGTAAAAAATACAGTAATTATAAAATTTGTTCAATGTTCATTCCACATGCTAGGGATTAGGATATAGAGCAAGATAAATGGTACGAGAACTCTTGAGGTTAATCCCTATGATGTGGAATGGAAATAATTTTATTTGTACCCCAATTCCCAATTTTCACAGTAAGTGGATATAAGCATTCAGTAGTACGCTAGATGAATTTACAAATGGATAAATATACTATTGTTTCTTTCTGTCAAAAATGAAATTTAAAAAAAAAATAAATTTTTGGGTTGTGTTTCATATACAATTCTAATTAATATATTATTATTATTATTGTTATTATTTTAGACTATCTTTTTGATTTAAACATAGGTGCATACATACTGTTTGTTATTTTATTAGTATAGTCCATAAAAGCAGAGGTCATAAAACCCTTCGTTTTGAGATACAGATAATATAGGTAACGTAATTATAAAAATTAAAAAAAAAAATCATTGCCGTAGGAACTTTAAATTTTGTAACGGATAACAGCCCTTCGCAGATCCTTCTTTTGATCTCTCGGCTGATATCTTAGCTAGGAATGGGTAAGTTTTTGGGGTCGCTGATCATGATTCCGGTGTCCATATGACCTCATCACGTCTATATCAAGGTCAAATGAAGGTCAAACACATTAAGTAAGTATACAATTTTTTAAACCGGGATTCTGAAAGAACGGAAAATTTTACGTTGCAGGTCATCTGTATTTTGAATCCTGGTTTTTGGTATCTGATTAATGACTTCTATAAAAGTTGTGGGAAATCTCGGGGACCATCAATCTTGGATCTGACTTGAGAGTCTATTTCAGGGTCAAATGAAGGTCAAAAGCCGTAATTCAAGTGCCATAATTTTTCAGATTATCTAAAAAGCATAACTTATACGCGTTTGAACCCCGAAACTAAACTCCTTTAGAAGATTAAGCTACAAACACTCGTAAGCACCCCAAAGAGGATGAAAGCTATTTCCATGTTGTTGTTCTTGGATTCAGTTGAACGTAAGTTGCAATGATGACCGTAAAGGGTAAAAGTTTGATGCTTATTAGGTCTCATGGTGACTTCAACGTGTTCGTTTGTTTGTGAAAGATCTACGGAGTGATTTCCTCTTATGTTCATTCGTCGTATCTTTTTTCAATGACCAGCAATAGTTTGCCATCATATTGACATCCCACACATCTTCACAACTTTTCCCGAATTCTTTTAAGTCTTGATGAAATCTCTCACCTTGCTCCTCAGTGAAGTTTCCTAGATTGTTGGGGAAGTAATCAACATGGAAATGAAGAAAATGGATCTTCAAGTTCATTAAACACCTATCCTTTTGTTGTTGTTCCTCAACAATTCGTCCACAATATTCTTGTAATAGGGTCTTTAGTATTTACGGTAGAAATTCAACAGTTGAATGTAATTTCGTAAAATGATAGGCTCATGGTCTAAAATTTAAAGCCGGTTTATGGTAAATACTCAAGCTTGAAATAGAACACTAAACTAATTACGCATTTTGGACTATGAACCTATCATCTCACGAAATCACACTTAACTGTAGATACTAATTCTCCTGAACTTTCATAGAGGTTAATGTATACGATATCTCGCTTCTTAGCCGATATATCAGCCGAGAGATCACAACAGGATTTGACGTCAAGATGACCTTCAAATGACCATCAGAGGTCACTCTTTCAAAATCCGGGGTCAAAAAATTGTATCATTCGAGTTAAGGTTTGACCTTTATTCGACCTTCATCTAAACATGATAAGGTCATATGGACACCGGGATCGTGATCAGCGACCCTAAAAACATAAAAGTCGGAGAAAAAAAACTTGTATGTGGTTATTTAATTTCCAATTTATTATTGAGTTCCTAGTGACGCTATCTTCCTTTGTTTCCGACACTGGTCATCAGGATAATGTAACGAGCGTTCAAATAAAAACGTGGTCGAAGTTGGCTCTGACACATTGGACGCAGGGAGTAGCTTACAGCGACCAACTTAACCTCATTTCTCAATGAGCTGTATAGCAGCTGTCAGTTTCAATAACGTTAATGACTATATAACTTTATTTTAAAGAATAATCGTGATAACAATAACAAACAATTAAAGGAGCTGCGGAAAGTGTCCCCCTCCTTGTTATAACAATAAATTAAAGCAGCTGCTGAAAGTGTCCCCCTCCTTGTTCCAAGCACTTTTCACACCTGTTCCTCAAAGAATTAAAGACATTTTCTAAGATGCTCGGGGTATTGTTAATTTCACGAATCTTGTCTATAAGTCGAGCCTGCAGATGGTTTAAATCAGGAATAGGCAGTTCAAAAATAGTGTTTTTAAGGTAAGGCCACAAAAAGAAATCACACGGCGTAATATCACATGACCTCGGTGGAAATTCATGTTCAGCATTGAGACTTATTAGTCGATTTTGGAAAACTTCCCTCAACATATTCATCGTCTCGCCTGCCGTATGTGCCCTTGCGCCATCTTGTTGAAAGTAAAAGTTTGTAATTTCGTTTTCTTCCAGCTGGTTAACAAAAGGAGCGATAATTTCTTCTCTATACCTTTGCGCAGTAAGAGTACCATTAAAAAAAATAGGTCCATAAATCCTCCTTCGATTGAGAGCACACCAAACTCCAATTTTTTGAGCGTGTAGAGGGCCCTCGACAAAAAAGTTATCTGGTTTTTCAGAAGACCACATTCTCATATTCTGTGAGTTTACGTAACCACTTAAATGAAACCAGGCTTCATCAGAAAAAAAGGTGATATTATGAAGTTCACCGTAGTTGTTTAAAAACCATTCACAAAATACAGCCCGTCGCGGAAAATCAACTTCATGAAGTTCTTGCTGACAAGTTAAACGATAGGAGAACAAACGCAAATCTTTTTTTAACACTGTGTGGCAGGTACCGACTGATACTCCCACCATTTGTGATAAAACACGTACAGAAGTTCTTGGCGCATTTTCCATTATTTGTTGGACATTTTCTTTTAATTCTTCAGTCCGCTTTTTAGGTCGGCCGCTTCCTTCTTTTCTTGTTACACTGCCCGTTTCACGAAAAACATTAACACAACGCTGAACTGCACTTTGAAAAATTTTGTACTCAACAACGCCGGGAAATTGATTTTGAAATTCTATGAAACATTCCTCAATAGAATACTTCCATATTCCATCAATCTTGCGTCCATTTCTAAAGTAGGACTCTATGATAAACACTTTTTGTTCTTGAGAAAACACCATTTTAAACGCTTTTTAAAACGAAAATATTCAAATTGATAGCGGCGATATAGCGCTTTGACAGATGACGTTTAAGTTCATTTGCTATACGCTACGCCCTACGTCCAAATTTTCAGAACCAACTTGACCACGTTTTTATTTGAACGCTCGTTATCAATTCATCAAAACTTTTGCCCGTAATTAGTTGTCATTATGTCAAGTTTAATCATTGCACGTCAGGTCGAGGTTTTTATTAGGGATATTTGAAGTTTTTTTTCAACACCTGTATCTCGAAAACGAAGCGACCTGTTTTTATATAAATTTTTACTTATATTCTGTCACTTGATACACCTTTAGCATGCACAATTCGGATACCTGCAATTTTTCATGGCAGTGCCATCAAAATTGAAATTGGTCAATAAATCTAAGTTTTACATTAATAGCAAACTAGTGTCACATTATCACATAAATACTTACCATTGTTTCATTAGTGTAAATATGTGGAAATGTTTTGGTCTACTTTATTTGCACAAAAAATTGCATTTTATGTCCCCTTTCTCTCTGGTTTTTTATATTTAGTTATTAAATTTTGTTTAAATTTTATATTTTCTCATGCCTAAATAGAATTTTAAATATAGAATAAATTTAAGATATTAATCATGAGAACAAGATAAAAATATGTAGAAGATTACAAGGAAAAGAGAAATAATTTAGCAATATCAGGTTATTAATAAATATACAGGGTGGCATAAAAATATGAGAACTCAAAAAATTTCGCGAGAGATACATTTTCCCGAAATACCAAATATAGAGAAAGTTAGGGTTTTTCCCTGGTTATTCAATGGTGACCATACATGACCACTGATCACGTGGTCATTATGGGGTCAAGACGATTTTATTAAATGGGAACCCCCCTGTTTGACCCCGGAAAAAAAACGGAAAATTTTAAGTTCAGATATGACCTTGACCATTTCAAAAATTTAAACATGGCGGCGAAATCAAGATGGTGGACGAAATTTTTTAAAGTTAACCGATTGTCACCAAATTTTGTATACGGAGGTTTTCGAGGTCGCTGATCACGAATCCGAAAAATCGGATTTAAAAAACCAAGATGTCGGATCCAAAAAGCCCAACTGAAAACACTTTAATTTATTGTTAAATAACATAACAAACACTAATTGTTCGGTTACTTATTCGAATAAAGGAATGACTAACATTAGTCATCATTTTAATGATTTTATTTGAGTAAATGCTCAAAAATACCTCCATTTGCGCGAGCACAGGCACGACATCTTTTTAGTAACGAGAATGTAATTAAATTAAAAGCAATATTTATTCTTTCTTCTAGCTGCTCAGAATATCAAAATTAATATCGCAGCCTACTATATAATTTTAAACCGCATTTTATTCGAATGTCGAAGTATGTCTTCAGTTAGTTTTTTAAGTTTTACTCGAAAATCAGGCTTTCTTCAAAAACATAAGGCAGTAGTAATTTGTAAAAAATTGAAAGACGAATCCGAAAATATCATGGTTGTAAAGCAGTGGCGTACCATTTTATTTAGAAAAATATGCCACCGATACCCAGTATCTCCGCCACTGGAGCATGTAAACTTTAGGAAAAGCCCTCAGATTTTGAACAATGTTTACATAAATATTTCAAATTATTTCACTTCCTAGTTTTTAAATTATGTTAAAAAATTATAAATATTTTTTTGAAGATTAACACCCTGTATCTTTTTAACGAAGCGTCCTAGATAAAAACTTTATTACGTCGAGGAGTAGGTCAAAAAGAAATAGGTACGAAGTACTCTTTGGTTGTGTATACGTTCTTAATCTTTTATCAAATACACTTAGTAGTACCGAAAATTGATATCGAATTAAACGAAATAAACTACTTATCACAACTACACTGCATCACAGCGCAGTGGCACACCAAAAGAAGTTATAGCAAAAAAGAATTACAACTTCCAATTGTTTTTACGGACCTTCGCAGTATCGTTAAGTATTTGAAAGTAAAAAAAAAAATGGATTTTTGGCCTTAATGTTTTTTAAGAGTTGAGGGTAGTATGCATGTAATGATATTTAACAAAAAATGGAAAAGATATGCAAAATATTCTATAAGAAAGTAAGAGGCGGCCAAATTCTCTGTAAATTATTGTGTAATTGTAGATATATATACTGTATAATTTTCTGAATATATTGTATAATATATACCTAACAATTCTAATTAATAGCCTTAAATCTAAACTTAAATTCGAAATTTAGAGTTTTTCTTTTATTTTTCCAAAATATGCTTCTCGTGAAAATTGTGAAACATCAGATATATTGTCAAAATAAATATATATTTCAGGTCAACAAGAATATTCTCAGCGACAGGCTGGAATTGCATCCGGAATTGTATTGGCTGTCTTAATTCCGTTAGTGTTATTATTTGTATACATAGCCTTCCTTTTCTTAAAGAGAAAACAAAAAGAAAAAGAAGAAGAGGAACTACAAGCCAAGAGTTACGAAGAACAGAAATTGTAAGTTGCATTTATAATATTATAATTTATTAACATTAGTTTTACTGAAAAACAACAAACACTAAATTAATAATTAAGACTAATTGATTATTTTCTCTCAAATACTGAAAACTTTATTAAGCATAAGTCTTACCTAAGTTCAATATTCTCTTTATAAGAAAGATATATTTACCATAAAACAACTCTTTCGATTCATTATTCATAAAATTAAAATTAATATACCTATGTATAAAAATAATTGTATTTCAAATACATAATATTTAACGATAATTAGACTGGGTCTGCCTTCCAGTATGGAATACATTTAAAGATAGAAGGTAGGTACAGAATTTTCATATACAGCGTGCCCCAGAAATAAATTCCAAAAATTTAACCACTCATTAAGATAGATACCAAATTAACTCATGCGGATGTTTTATGGAATTATTTTTTTATCTATTTCTGCTTTAAGTCAGCGACTTTTGACTTCTGTGCTGAGTAACAAAATTTTACATTCTTAAATAATTGTTATTTTAAAAACTAAGCGGTTTTCGAAAATAAAATATTAGACAAAAATTGTTGCTTTCGATAAGTAAGTGTGTGGTTAAGGTTGTCCCGGTATATAGATATATGTTTGATATATACAGGATGGACCATTAGTGTGAGTAAGTAAAATAGCTCCCTTGCTACTCATAATACAGAAAAAAAGTTTATATAAAAGTTGTACAGAATCAAGAAACCCAAAGGACAAATTTAATTTGAAGCATACAGGGCGATTAGTAAAAACGATACACGTCAAATATTACATTTTTTAAATGGAACACCCTGTATATTTTTAAACAGTTTCACATTTTAGTGCGGGGTTGCCAAGTTATGTAGAAAATTCATCGAATTTTGGAAAAAACATGACCTCGAAGAAGTTGTATTAACTTTCAACTACTAACACTTGGAGCAAAAATATTTGACTGAGTTGACAAATGTTAGGATTAGCTAATATTGATATTTTATACAGGCCATTTTTTATAATTCGATCATTTTTAGAAAGTTCAAACTTGATTTTCTAAAATGTTTCAAACGGCATACCCTGTATTTTATTGCTCTGTTTTATTCACATATCAGTCCACTTCCATTAAGTATGTCCTACACCTACAGTTGTTAGTTTTTAAGATATAGCAACATTTCTGGAAAAACTAAATTTTTATTATTTTCAGTAGCACGAAATGGCTTTGGAAAAAACTGTCACATTGTGTCAACTTGTCAGTTCATAATTTATCATTCCATTTTGAGTTAATTTTATTATTTAATATTTATTTGTATATAAAATAATAAAAATTAAGTTTTTTTCAGAATTGTTGCTATATCTTAGAAACTAACAATTTTAGATATAGAACATGCTTAATAAAAGTTGAAGTGGACCGATATGTGAATAAAATAGAACAATAAAATACGGGGTGTTCCATTTGGAAAATTTTAGAAAATCAAGTTTAAACTTTCTGAAAATGATCGTATTATAAAAATTGCCCTGTATAAAATATGGATATTAGCTGATGTAGGAGCCTATAATTATTTTGTTCCAAATGTTAGTAGCTGAAAGTTAATACAACTTCTTCGAGGTAATGTTTTTTCCAAAACTCGAAGAATTTTCTACATAACTTGGCAACCCCGCACTAAAATGATAAACTGTTTATATTGCCATATATAGAATTTTCTCGGAAATCCATATGTTTAAAAATATACAGGGTGTTCCATTTAAAAAATGTAATCTTTGGCGTGTCCCGTTTTTACTCATCGCCCTGTATTTTTCAAATTAATTTTGTAGTTTAGGTTTCTTGATTCTGTACAACTTTTATATAAACTTTTTTTCTGTACTATGAGTAACAAAGGAGTTATTTTACGTTTTCACACTAATGGCCCACCCTGTATATTTGAAATAACGTTGTCTTCTTAGATTTCGAATAAAAAACTGCCAAACAGTTTTGAACAAAATTGCATCATTCGAAATAACAGACTTTTGATATGAAAATAGTCCATTTAGTAGCATATCCGACTTTCATTTGCCTTTTGTTTACTTATAATCGGGACACCCTGTATAAAATAGAGAATAAAAATTATATCAAAGTTTTGTGGCTAAACCAATCGCTTATAGGAAAATTATTAGTAATTCAGTCAGGAGACTACATCTTTGTCTAACACATTAGTCCGGGGAGGGTATAATCTTATAATTAGGTCTTCCCTCTCATTATTGGAAGTTCTATTAAACTTTATATCACCTGCAGAAAGGAAGCCCAAATATTTAAAAATATATAGATTTATATATTTTAAAAAATTAAGTAAACTCATTTATTTCCAACGAGTCCAAAAATAGTACGGGTAAAGACCAAAAACATCGTATAAAAATTTTTCCTATAATAATAATCCTATACGTAATGTGTATAAATGAAAACCCTGTATATTTCAAACGAACATATATTTCAAATCACTTGGAAATCATTGGAAAGTTTTCCTAATCTGTACATAATTTTTATATATTTAATAGTAGGTAATTTAATCTTTATATACAGGGTGAGTCGGGAGAATCACACCAAACTCCAGCAATGGAACCTGCACGTCAAAATAATAAGAAAAAAAATCAATGTTGTGATGCGATTTTCATTTGTTTTCAAGTTATAGCGTAATTACCAATTTTAAAAATTTGAAATGTCATGTTCCAGGTTCAAAAGTAGGATATTTGTCAGTGTCATTTTATGTCGCAATTAGTTTAACATTTAATTACTCGTTTGTACCATCAGTGTTACAAAATTCCAAGAACTTATTCAAATTTAGAGTATGCAAATATGGTGTTTGTGTATGGTTTTTGTAATGGGAATACTAATGCTGCTAATGAAAAATATCAACGGTTTCCACATCAGAGATGTCCTAATAAAAATATATTTATCAGAATTTTCAACAAACTGTGCAAAACCGGAAAGCTTCCCAGTGCTAGTATAACATCTGACCGAGCTCATCGAGCTCAGGTTTAAGTAGAAAATATTCTGAGTCTAGTAGAAGATGATGCAACTACCAGCTCACGAAGAATTATTGCTACTCAATTGGGTATTCGACGAAAAAGAGTAATGAAAACCATGGGCGCAGGTAGAATTTTGCTTGAGGTAGGCCTGGCAGCTGGTCAGCCGGCTAGTTTTGGTTTGGACAGAGAACAATTCTGGGACGGTTCGAATTAGTTGACCTTTCTATTCATAAGAACATCAAGGCCAAAACATACTAAGAATACAGTTGGGAAACTATTCTGAACTGTCCCAGGAATCCGCCGACACAACCAAAACAAATCTACTGCTGGATAGTTTTTTTTTCTGGGGTTGGCTCCGAGTCCTCCGTAAAAGCAACACTCGGACGTAATTTTCAGCATAGGTTTTCGACCTTTTCATTTTGGAGAATCGATTCATAGGAAACCGCTACTTAATTTTTTTACAAAATGAATTACAAGTAAGTGGCCTCCAAGATCTGCAGACCTCATAGCTGGTTCAAAAATGAAGTGTACAAAGTTAAAGTAATCACTCGGGAGGCACTAATTCGATAAATCATCAATACTGCAGCACTCATTAAGAAAGGAAAACTATAGACGCCCTTCGTAGACGAAGCCGGAAATGTTTAGAGGTCAATGGTGGTGTTTTTGAACATTTAATCAACGCTATGATTAATAGAATATCAATATTTTTTTTATTGAAATGTACGTCATAGCTTGAAAACAATGAAAATCGCATAACAACATTTGAGTTTTTTCGTATTATTTTGGCGTGTAGAATCCATTCCTGGAGTTTGGCGCGACTGTCCTAACTCTCCCTGTAGAATAATATGATGATACTAATGTTGAGTATAGAATTAGAGAGACAAAGTATATTTCATAATCTTCACCACTTAAAATAAGTTATTTTTCCCCTTTTATTTAAATTATTAAACTAAATTTCATTATTTGTTTAAAACATATTTAAACCTAAGGCCTACCTAAAATAACGCAAATAGTAGATACAGCATATAGTCTTAATAGTAGGTATCTAATAAGTAATAATACAACTATTGATAATTCTGTTATAAATGTCTTATTTTATTAATATTATAGTTTGGCAATATAAAAATAAAAGATATCTTTCAGGAGGGCAGAAGAAGCTGCTAGGAGAAAACTGACAGCATCTGAAGAATACAATTCAGATGAGGATGATAATAGTAATGTTACTACGACTAATCCCAAAGAAACGACAGTATACTAAATAGCAGCATTTTTTTATTATATAATTAAGTGAACTTTAATATCTTAGAAATAAGAAGAAATGTACGAAAATAGCCGAAATAAGTCAACATTTTTCATCTTTTGATGATTATCAGATTGAAAGTTAATATTAAAGACACTCACTAGATAACTGATTGTTACTCCAATTGATTTGAGCTCCAAAATTTTTGAAACGAAACAGTGGAGAAGATAGGGATGGTTTAATTAATTAATGAAATGTATACCAAAACACATTTATTTTTAAAAAATAATTAATCTTGTCAAATTTTTGTATTTCTTTTTCTTCTGATTTGTTAAGAATGTATCTACCGTATATTTTTTATAATTTGTGAGATGCATAACATTAGCCCACCATTAGTCTGTTCGAGTATGGATGTATGTGTAAATTTATGTATGTGTTGACGAATGCGAGTAAATATATTTACATTTAATTTTTATTTTTAAATTATTATAAATTTCCAAATGAATAGAAGAATAGTTTTTAAATTACTGTAGTTGTATATTGTCTATTTTTATAGCAATTTGAGTTTCTATGTCTTCCTCTTGATCACTTGAAATAAGGATGATTATAACTAAGAAACTGTTGTTCAAAATACCTTTTTTTCTATGAATACGTAAAATTAAACTTCATTCTTAAAACTGTTTTTTTCACAAAAATGAAATAAACTATTGCTGTTAACAGAAACAGAAACAGGCGAATTATTCCTGTTTCTTTTAAAACATTACTAAAACATGATTTGCATATGACAAAAATATATAAATAAATTGGAAGTCTTAACTATTTTATACTTTTCTATTTATACAATTGTAATATAAAGTCATATTTGTTTTGTATTATATTTATGATTACACACCATATTTCAAATAGTTAAAAACTTATTAAATAATAGTTATGTATATATTTAAATGTTATTTTTGACATGATCATGCTCTTAATTATTGATTATATTTATAATTAAGTAATTAGTAATTATATGCACTTACCTCATCATTTGAAAAATTTGGATACAAATAAATATAATGAGAAAAAATATTAACTATTAATTTGTTCACCAGCTCAGCACAGATAAATATTTCTAGGTACATTTTTCTTTACGTTAAATATATTGAAAGCTATGTAAATGTAATTAATACTAAAAATGTTCTTCGATTCCAACGTTTTGATTTTATTTAAAATCTTCCTGGGGATCTATAAATAGTAAAAAGAGATAAGGGTATAAGCGTGGAACATAATTGAAAAACATTAATAAAATTTAACTAATATTCGTTAATTACACATACACAATAAAAGTGAGAGCCAAAATATAGTTAAAAAAGAGAATAGTAGCAACCTTACCCAGTCAGATAAAACCACTATCGTAAGATTAAAATAATTCATCATGTAATGTATTAAGTACAATTTATAAATTTTTAGATTACTTTTCATTTTGTACAATGTTTCTATGAGAAAACTGTAATATGTTTAGTCGTCTTCAAAACAAATATTTTGTGGAGATGCAAAAAATAACAACTAAAAAACGTTAACACCATGAAAAAGATAATTTAGATATGTTTCGATCTCTATTTTTATTAAGTAGGTAGGTACGCTTAATTAAAAATTTAAATAACAATTTTAATTTGTTCTTTCAAATATTGGAATGTTTTTAAATTATGTTATGCTGTATAATTACCTCTTTATTGTTATTTAGAGCCCTGAGGACGATTTTAAATAAAATCGAAATGTTGACCAAATCAGACAATCAAGACCCTGATTTCCTTACTTTATTCCGAATTTATTACACTGTTTGGAAGGCACCATAATTATTGCATTAATAATTACCTATACCTAATAAAAATTTGTTTTTTCAAGAGACCTTCTTTTTCATGAATATTTAAAATATGAATAGAATTTAATTATGCAAACAAAAACTTAAAATCAAAAAAAATGAAATTTTATAATTTCAATGTCAAAAGCGTTAACATATTAGTCCAAGTATTTAATTTTTTTATTTTAAGATATATTTCTTGATTGAACATTTTAAAATGTTCATTTGTAGGTGAAGTTGACAAACTAGACAAACAAATAACATCTTACGATCTGACAGCGCACGTTCACCACAGAAATGAATTTAAACGAGCACGAACTACGAAACACTGTTGGACGGAACATCCTTAGACCATTGAACAGTGGACACGATCGCCATATACGCCGCCGCCGTTGAGAGCACTTATTATTTCTAAAGTAAAGTGTATACATCATTACATCATAATTCACGCCATTTCAGATAAATTTTCCGTTTTCCCACCACCCCCGTAAATTCCCGCCAAAACGGGAATTTCCCACACACCTGGCAACACTGCTCTGTGTGGTCAGCAGGTTTCAGTTATTGAACTTTGTAAGCACGTAGTGAGCAAATGTTTCGTAAGAATACGCTGTAGAGAGCTTCTCGAAATGTCCAATTCTTGACCGGTGCCAAACTGATGTTACTGGACACTCAGCAACACTCTCACGAACTGCTTCTATGTTTTATGGTGCACGACTTGATGAAGGACGGCCAGAGTGTTTAAGATCCAGTCTTCCTAAATTTTTCAATCGATCTCATCACAGTTGACGAAGTTAAATCAGTATTCCAACAATATTTTGTACCAAAATTGCAAACTGTAGCTGTCAAAGCCTCATTATTTTTAAAATATTGGACAACAATGAAAACGCGTTATTTTTTCGTGTGGTACTCCTTTTTTAATAACCTTGAACTGTCAGCTGTCACGCTGTCTTTTTTTTCGTTGGCAACACTTTTGAATTTTGAGACATCCGGTATGATATTTTGCAATAAATATGATTTATTAATTAATTGGTATATTAATGACAATAAATTAACGAATTTGAATATACAGGGTGGGCCATTAGTGTGAGAAAGTAAAATAACTCCCTTGTTATTCATAATACAGTAAAAAAATATATATAAATGTTGTAAATGTTGTACATAATCAAAAAACCTAAAAACTAAATTAATTAGAAATATACAAGGCCCGCCAAATCTTACATTTTTATATGGAATATCCTGTATATTTTTAAACACATGGATTCCTGAGAAAATTCTATATATATATATATATATATATTNGTATATTTTTAAACATATGGATTTCTGAGAAAATTCTATATATGGCAATATACACAGTTCAACATTTTAGTGGGGGGTTGCCAAATTATGTAGAAAATTCTTTGAATTTTGGAAAAAAATATGACCTCGAAGAAGTTGTAGAACTTTCAACTACTAACACTTGGAGTAAAAATATTTGACAGAGTTATTATAGGCAAGTGTTAGGCAAAGACTCCTATGTACTATCAATATTTTATACAGTGCATTTTTTATAATACGATCATTTTTAGAAAGTTCAGACTTGATTTTTTAAAAATCAAGAATAATAAAAATTAAGTTTTTTCAGAAATGTTGCTATATCTTAAAAACTAACAATATTAGATATAGAACATGCTTAATAAAAGTTGAAGTGGACCGATATGTGAATAAAATAAAACATTTGAAACTACATTTGAAAAATTTTAGAAAATTAAGTTTACACTTTCTAAAAATGATCGTACCATTATAAAAAATGCCCTGTATAAAATAGGAGCCTTTGTATAACATTTGCCTATAACTCTGCCTAATTATTTTGTTCCAAATGTTAGTAGCTGAAAGTTAATACAACTTCTTCAAGGTCATGTTCTTTCCGAAATTCACATAATTTTCTACATAACTTGACAACCCTGCACTAAAATGATATTTATATTGCCATATATAAAATTTTCTCGGAAATCCATGTTTAAAAATATACAGGATGTTTCATTTAAAAAATGTAATATTTGGCGTGTCCCGTTTTTACTCATCGCCCTGTATGTTTTAAATTAATTTTGTAGTTTAGGTTTCTTGATTCTGTACAACTTTTATATAAACTTTTTTTCTGTGTTATGAGTAACAAGGGAGTTATTTTACTTTCTCACACTAGTGGCATACCTTGTATTTGCGACAAGAATGTATATAAAATTTGGATCGTATTTATACGTGGACAGATTCCAAACGTCGGTTAACGCTGTTTGGATATGATAATTTAGATCGTGTTACATGCACAGACCAGGTCCTGGACGCTGGCTATTGAACCTCGGCTGGTTTGGATCGATATTAGTATAGCATGGAGGGTCCGCACATGGTCATGATAAGTCTGCCATGATGCGGCACCATTCTCGTTTCTGGAATTCGATTCTGGGTCACTGAAACGAACCATCGCCCCATTTAAAATAACCAAGTTATTGCTGTTTAAAGTTGAGAGAATTATTCATCAGTTTTTTGAATACCCTGTATAATACTAAGTGACGACAAATATAACAATTTATAACTTCAAGGATCTAAAATAGACCCTCCAAAACTGCTTCCTTAAAATTGTTTGTTTATTGCCAATATTAAATTTCTACGCTATGCCTGCATTTTCACTAAAACTGAAAACTGAAAGTCCTAGGTATGCAGAACCTTTAACCAAGTTCACTTATTTGTTTACGGTGCCTTCAAAAATGCAGTAAACTACAGGGTGTCCCATTTAAAAATTCATAACTTTGCTATGGTACGCTTTTCCTGGACACCCTGTATATTTCAAAATATTTTTAAAATGTAGCCGTAATCAACCTACACATACCCACCTAAACAGGTTTCTGTAACATTTGCCGTTTGGTCCCTAGCGACCGAGGCGTTACTGGTGGCCCACCCTACGTCTCATTTAAAATAATGAAGTTGATGTCGACTTCCGGTATAACCGGAAGTGCTGGAGAGTTCCAAATATTTTAGCTGTATTCGCTCTACGGACACTGCCATGTCGCCAAGTTTTCAAATTTTTGGGAGCAGTACTTTACTAGATATCGATCGACGCAGTTCACGGTGGGACACCCTGTATACACCCTCGAATAACCGAATCCCACAGGAAAAAAGTTTATAGAGCTATACTCTATATCTACTCTACATAACTCCAAGGCTGGTTAGTCTAGGTTAGGTACCTCATAACTCCGCCAACCACTGGAAACTAAGTGAGGAATTGGCGGGCTTAACGTCAGCCTGTATGCAACTTTTAAATGAACTTACGAGTTTTATACTGTTTTATACTTTATAAATGTCATATTGATGGAATTACAAGGTAGATAACTATATATTTTTAATGTATTTTGGAAATACTAACTATTAACATAATATTTCTTGTATTGTTAATTTTATATAGTATTTAGTAGTTATTATAGATATTTTACCTACTAATGAATTAATTCCAATTGAAAAAATAATATTCTAAATTACATTAATTTTTTTAAATGTTGCACATATCTATTGTCTGAAGCTATTTATTTGTTGCATAATTTTAGTTCTTTGTTTACTTCATTGGGTACTTTGCCACCTGTGGAAAAAATTAATTTAGGCAAATCTAGTTCCAAATAAACAACCCTTGACTGATCCTCTTGGCGCAAGGGTTCATTTAATTAATTATTAATTTTTTCAACAGGTAGCAAAATACCCAATCAAGCAAATAAAAAAGTACACATATCTATTATGTCAAATAATATAATTATTGTTGACTTAGAGCAATTTTTTCATTATTAATATTTGAAATGACCATTAGCTGACATAACAAGATAGGAATGAGAAAGGCAATATAATGAGTAGGTAATTTCACTGGATATTGTTTATAACAGTACTTTCTTACTATTTCAACTGTAAGTCTTTATGACCATCACAATGATTTTAAGAAATACATAAAATTATATCAATTGAAATATAATTAAATTGTATGCAATATTTTTTCAAAATTATTTAGTTAGGCACGAAACTTATATTAAACAATTTGTATTACTTGCAGATACATGCAAAAAAAATAAATCACAATAAATACTACTAAAATATTAGGTAATCAATACACATAATTTCAAATAAAAAATTTATTGTGTTACAAAACACACACAGACGCTGGCCGGCTGGCATACCGGATGACGTAACACTCCCTCTTGCCCGCGCACTTCTCCTTAAAGTTGTGAGGTAACCTAGGTTAAACCAGCCTTGACATAACTCTACTTATTTTTCGGTAATGAATCTAGTCCTGCAGTTTCTGGATTTAAAGTGAAATCACCCTGTATATCAAAAATGT